GACCTGGGTCGCTCTTCTGGAGCGTCTGTGCTTACAGCCAGGCTGGGGAAAGGGTGGCTACGACCAGCTGCCCAGCCCCACACAGCCCGAGCTCCACACCCTGGTTTACAAGCACCAGCCCAGCTGTGCTCGCCTCTGTGGTTGGGACACAGAGGGTCCCTGAAGGAAGACCTGGGCAGCTCTGCGCTCAGCCTCTGCTGGGCCGTCAGGTGGGTCTGGTGCTGACCCACACCCTCTCGGACACACAGTATGTGTGAAGCCTTATGTGCTGGGACCTTGCGAATGAGATCAATGTGGGCATTTTCAAAGAAAAAATGGAACACCATGTCAACATTCCCTTGTAGCCCTGCTTTGAATTTCTCTTACAGGCCAGCCACCCTCGTGAGTACAGAGACATGAAGAAGGGAAGCTCCTTTATGGCAAGAGAGAACTCGGACTCATGGGGCTTGGAGCAGGCCCCTTGGTAGCTGCCAGGGAAGGCTATCTGGTTGGAGGCGGACATCAACACTGAACTCTCATTTTTTGGTTTTGGAGTCACACTCAGCAGTGCTCAGGGCCTTCTCCTGGCTCTGCACAGAAGTCTTTTCTGCAGCGTTTGGGGGACTCTATGTAGTGTCTGGATCAAACCCAGGTTGGGCGGGTGCAAAGCAAGCACCTTACCCGCTGTACTATCTCTCTGGCCCGACAGTGAATTTTTTTTTTTTTGAGGGGAGGCATGCATATTGGGCCACATCTGGTGGTACTCAGGGCTTCCTCCTGGCTCGGCGCTCAGGGGTAATTTCTGGTGGGGCTCAGGGAGCCATATGAGATGCTGGGAATCCGCGAACCTGAATCAGTCATGTGCAAGCCAAATGCCCTTCCCAGTGTACTGTCGCTCCAGTCCCTCTTACAGTGACTCTAACCCAAGAAGGGGTGCTGGCCAGGCAGAGAAGGGGGAGACCCAGTCTTGGTTTCAAGGACAGCAGGGGTCAAGGGTGTGTGCCTGAGAGCAGATGGGAGGCAGCGGCCCAAGGAACCAGCCCCTCACGGAGTCTCAGCCAAGTCAGGCATCTGGTCCTGTGGGAACCCTCCGAAGGGACAGGGGCCAGGAGGTCAGCGCTGGTCTGGATGGATGAAGTCAGGACTCGCTCCTGCAGTGCCCCGGCCTCCTGGTGAAGCGTTTCGCCCTGACACGCTGGGACACCGTGAAGTGGGGCAGGGGGGACGGTGAAGCTGCTGGGGGGGACGCTGACTCTGAGATGAAGGGCTGCCATGAACAACACACTCCACTGACACCCCATCTCCACTGCCAGAGACTTTGAACATCAAATACTCCCCAAGCTAGGGAAACCCAACCACTGGCTGGTCGTTAGGACTTTATTATTATAATCAGAGGCCCGATGCCAGTCCCCCCCCCCCCCAGGGCAGAACAATGAGCCATTGAGTTGGGTGAGGTCGTACCTCCCACCCAGCCACCCGCTCCCTCACTGGGGATCTGGTGCTGTGGCTCTGTTGGGGCGGGCGGACGGCATCCCAGGCCCTGACTGCACCATCCCACCCTGTGGGGGCTTCTGGGGGGTCTGGGCATCGTTCTCCTCACTCATCAAGTGAGAAGCCCAAGGAAACATTCCCAAACCTGACTTTGATCTCCCCCCGTTCTGCACCGCATCTCGACCTTGAAAGCCCGGGAGCTCATTATGGCTGCTTTGGGGGAAATTTATGAGTATGAAAATGCTTCAAAGCTGCTGAAGACCGCGAGGCAGCGTGGGCCCATCTCTCCATGGCGTGGGCGGTGGACCCTGCTCATAGACTCACAGGAAGGGAGCCTGTGAGGTGCCTGTACCGGCCTGTCCCTCCCACGCCCTGGTGCTGCTGCCCGCTGCCCTTGGAGACCGGGCCAGGATCAGTGGACAGAGGTCGGATTGAGGAGCTGGGCCGCCGACTCCTGGCCCCCAGCTGCTATGAAACAAAGTTGTTTGCTCTCGATTACAGGCCCGCGTGATTCCCAAGCCTTTGCTGTTATTTGATCATCAGTTATAAGCCAAAAAGATCCCGACTTTATTAGGAATGTAAAAAAAGAGAGAGAAAGCTCCATTTCATGGAACCGAAAGGCCGGCTCGCCGTGCCATGAAACCCTAGAGGCAGGGCTGTCTCCAGGGCCGAGCGGGCCACCTCCCTGCGTTCCTGCTGACATGAGGGGCAGGAGGCCTGGCGGGACCCGCGCCTGCCCAGGGCCGGCTGGTTCCTGCAGGGCTGGTGTTTCTGCTTGCGGGGGCCCCGTTCTGGCCCTGTCCTGGCAGGGGACACCCCAAATATAACAGGCACAAGGGAGGGGACCCTCTAGCTGCTGGCTCGGACAGTGCAGGGAGGCTGCCGGGACCCCAGCTTGGGTTTCAGGATTAGGGTAACCCGAGCACTATAAACCACACTGGGGCTGGGATTAGGCAGGCTCAGCTCGGAGAGGCTTTGCCGGGCCCTGTGGGCTGACACGGGGGGCCTCTATGCGGACCTCAAAGGCACAGGTTCTTGGCCTGGGCCCAGGACATGCAGGGCTCCTGGAGCCCTTGGCTGCAGGGGCAGAAACCCGAGAGCTGGTGGGGAGCCCGGCTGCAGCGGGGGAGGAGCAGGCACAGGAGGCGGGGGGCTGGCTGCTAGGGCTGCTCTGAAGGGTGCCTGCCGGGTGGCCGTGGCCCAGACCTCAGCACGGGGAAAAGGCACAGTGAGGCTGGACCGAGCTGTGTGTTCACAGCAGAATTCTGCTGGCAACATTCACTTGCTTGGCCAGGCCACCTCAGCCAGCCAGGGACTGCACCGCTGGGGCAGGCAGACGCCCGGGGCACCACTAGCGGCTGGGTAAGGCGAGAGGGCTGGGGGGCCCTGCAAGGCTGAACCAGGCTTGAGCAGCGCTGCATGGGGTGCCCCAGAGACTCATGAAGGGTTGGAGGCAAACAGCAGGCTGGGTGCCGGGTGTGACACCCCCCTCTCCCTCTTTGATCACCTCCTTAACTATTTGTCACTCTGTCCCTTGGGGGGCCTGGGAACCTTGGGGGACACCACCTCAAAGGATTAGAAAAGGAAGGAATGTCACCTGCCATGCCCCACTTCAGGGGGTGATTCAGAGAACCCCCACCATAGACACACACACACACACACACACACACACACACACACGCTCATTGCGAAATCTGGAAGCATCAGCAGAAGTGTGCGGGACGTCGCCGGGGGTAATTGTAGGTTACATGGAACAATCTAAGGAATTAAAATCATATTTTCATTGCACCATAAAAACATGCAAAGGCAGGGGGAAGGCGGCCCCGGGGCCAGGTGGGGAGCACCTGGTCTGTGGTGCTCTGGCCCCGCCCTGTGCTCCCGGGAGGAATGGGGGGCCCAGAGAAAGGGCCTGGGGGCCACACAGTAAGAGCCAGGCACTGCTGGGGGCAGAAACCTCTCTGGCTGGGGCGCTTCCTTCCGTCCTGCTCCCCGGTTCCCCCTCACGCTCTGGTCCTTACAGCATGGTGCTGATCGTTGGCAGAGGCCCCAGTAATGCTGTTCCTGTACCCCCAAGGGGTCCCCGGGGCCTCGGGACCTCAGGAGCATGTGGGACATGGAGGGCGTGGGCCCTGGGGCCATGTGACGATGGCGGACCTGGCACACACAGAGACGCAGCGGGCACAGCTGCTAGGTGTCAGCTCGGGATCCTCTGTGCCTGAGCAGCGCCTGGCCCCACCCTTCTCCAGGGGAATGGAGGCCCCCACGCAGGGGCAGTGGCCGGGCCCTCAGCCTCGGGGATGTGGCTGCACGTCCCGAGAGCTGTCCGAGCACCCACAGGACTACGCGGTGGCCGTCTTGCTCTTGCCTAGGTGCTGGTCAGGTGACAGGGTACGGGGACAGATGTGGGGTCACAGACACAGCAGGTGTCTGGGGCAAGGCCTGTTCTGGGAGAACTAGCTTCAAGGACTCCAAGAGCCAGGCATACAGCTGCGGAGTGGCACGGCTGATGGACAGGCCCTCACCCTGTGTGCTGCACACGGACTCATCAATCCCATCACCACTAGAAGACAAGGCCCATCAAGTGTCTCCCCGCCCCAGCCAAGGGTGGATTCCAGCCCCAAGGCATCTGCAGCCCGATGCCTAGCGTCCCCCCTCCCCCAAGCCCGGTAGCCCTGAGGGCCCGATGACCACTGAAGGCCAGGGGAATGCCTCATCCCCAGGTGCAGGGGTGCAGCCCCAGGCCTCCCTGCAGGGTTCGCGGGGCAAGCTGCCAGCCGCGTTCCTTGGGACACGGCTGATGTCATGCGCACTTGAAGAGGGCCCGGCCCAGCGCGCCACTTGGCGTCTTAATTGGGCGTCTGAGAGCTCCTGCACACGCTTCACACCAAGTGAGCGAGCGTCTGGGGCTCCCGGGGCCCATTAGGGTGCAAAGACATTCCTTTGTTTGCTGACAAGCAGGGTCCCATCCAGGGCTCCCGGGCCGGCAGACTAAGTGATGTTTTCTTAAGGAAGACACGAGATTAACCGCCGCTAAAGCCCCAGCACAATGCCGGGCCCTGCCCGTCACTGTCAGCACGGCCTCTCTGCGCGGTGACTGACAGGTGACGGACAGGGGTGGTGGTGCCGCCTCCATGCCAGGATTAGCCTGAGCGTGCCAACAAGCCGGCAGGGAGGCCACACTGCAAAGGAGATGAGGAGCCTCTGACCCCCCTGCCCACTCCTGTCACCCTGCACCCTCTCCCCTGCGGCCGCGCTGGGGGACAAGTGCCCCCAACACCACTCCTGCTCACCTCCCCCACCCCCATCTTCTGGAAGGTGCTCAGAGGCCCCGGGGGCAGGTCCTGGGAGGTGTCTCTTGCTTTGGGTGGTGTCGATTCCTGTACCAGGGAAAAAAGGGGCCTTCTGAGGCCTGGTCACTGGGACTCGCTGCTAGGGGCCCCCTGGGCCTCCTTCAGGTGACGGTAGAGGGCCAGCCAGGACTCCTCCTGACCCGCCCATCCTGGGAGATGATCCGGACACCAGAGGCAGGATACGTGTCAGGGAAATGCCCTCTTTATTTGGAATCCACAGATGCCAGAGAGGGGCTCGGACGTGGGCAGCCCGCGGGCGGGTTTCTGCGCAAGTCGTCATTGTCTGGCATCGGGGGCCTGGGGGAGCCCCAGGCGGGAGAGGCGGGGAGGTGCAGTGTGGGGGCTCAGGGCCATCCCTGCAGGCCATGTGGGCAGTCAGTCCAGATGCTCCGCCCCACGCAGACGGGCTCGAGGCGCCCCCAGTGTCCTGTCAGAGACGGGAGTGGGTCATGGCAAGGGTCACACTCCCAGCCCCAGAGAGCCCCAGCCCCGCCAGCTGCTCTGTCACCGGCATCACGGCACTGCTGGAATCTGCTGAGGGCCAGGAGATGCGAGGGGCTGTGTGTGTGCTGGGACCTGAACTCAAATGCTGGCACCCAGAGTATGGCCCAGAGGCTCTGGGCGGGTTGAAGCTTTAGGCCTGGCACTGAAGAGCTGGTGCTGGTTCCTCAGGACTCCTGAAAACTGCTTGGGAGTCCCCTTCCCCACCCCCAAAAAATATATTTGAGGAAATTTTTTAACTGATTAGACTTATGGCAAGCTCCTAAGGAAACAGCTCTGGTGGCTGTAATACGCTGCTAAGTGTGGCGTCCAGGGCAGCCTCTGCCTGGGCCAGCAGCAGCCCTGGTGGAGGTGCGGGTGTCCACCAGACCCTCAGGGCCTCCTGGAAGCTCACACCTGCCTTCAGACATCACATGGCCGCCTGGGCTGGATCGAGACCAAGCCAGCGAGCCCCAGCCCCGGGACGGGCCCACTGCCAGACTCAGGCTGTGGGCAGAGCTGACTACGTCCTGCCAAGCACCTCCCCGGGGCGGGGGCGGGGGTGTCGCTTCCTCCTGGGGAAGAAGGCGCCCTGAGTCCCGGGGCGCAGGGCCAGGCCAACTCCCGAGGAGCAGCCGTGGGGGAGGCGCCCTGTGCGCGGGGCACCATCTCCACCTTCTGGGCGAGAGAGAAACAGGCCGGCGGCTGCTCCAGACTCCGAGGAGGGCAGGCAGGAGAGGAGAGCGTTTGCCGGCCCACACCCACTGGCACGCGCTGTTAGAGGCGTGCCAGGCCCCACCAGCCCATGGCGAGGGGGGCAAGGGGGAACAGCAGAGGCCAGGCTGGGGTCTAGGGTTGCAGACGCGACTGGCATAGCCTCCCCTGGACATGGGACAGCAATTTGGTGGGGGGATGGGGGGCGGGGCACCCTCCCACCGCGCCCGTCCTTAAACCCAGGGCCCAGCCCTCAGCGTACCTGGGTCCGGGCCGTGGAGGAGCCTGGCGGGGGGGGTGGCGGGTGTGCAGATGCCCGGCCTGGCAGGGATGGTGGCTTACCCTCAGCAGCCTGTCACCGTGGGGTCCAGGCCTGAGCGCTTGGAGATGTGCAGTTTGGCCACCTCCTCGGCGCAGGTTGGGTGGATGCCCACCGTCTGCATCACCTGCGCGTAGGAGGCTCCACACCTGCACGCAAGGAGGCAGGGGGCTCAGACGACGCACAGGGCGGCTCCCTCCTGTCCCACACCCCCGCTCCAGAGACCCCTGCCCACCTCTAGCGAGTTGTCCCATCTCTGGGCGGTGGCCGGGACCCCTAGACACTCAGTTGTCCACCCTCGCTGACTCTGGCGCTGCCTTCTGGCAGCTTCCGACACCCCCCAGCTCAGCCCAGGTTTAGGCCTCCTGGATCTAGGCTCTGATGGGTCTCTGCAGGTCTCTGTCCCAGCTCTGCCCACTGAGCACCTCTGCCCGGCCTTCACTGGACCTTTCTTCTACACCTCCCCTGTCAGCCTTCGGACAAGGCAAGGCTGAGGTGTCAGGTCTTCCATCCCCACACCTTTGATGGGCTCTGGGGGTAAATGCCAATAGGAACAAAGTAGGGGCTCTCCCAGCCTCCCATTGCCCCACTGGGGTCTGTGCCACTCTGGTGTCAGCATCTGTCTTGGGCACAGATGCTGCAGCTTCACCAGAGAGCACCCTCCGGTCAAACAGCACTTGGGGGTGGAGGGTGTGTGTGTGTGTTGGACTGCCTCTTAAAGTTCCTTAGAGATAGTACAGCAGGTAGGGCGCTTGAGTTCAGGTAGGGTGCGTGCATCGAGCCCAGGTTCAATCCCCAGCATCCCTATGGTCCCCCTGAACACTGTCAGGAGTGATTCCTAGGGCAAGACTAGGAGTAAACCCTAGGCACTGTTGGGTGTGGTCCCAAAGACCCTCCTTTATACATTTTTTTATGTTATTCATTATAAAATGAACAAAATAAAATAAAAATAAAAGCTTCCTTGGAGCGATAGCACAGCGGGTAGGGCGTTTGCCTTGCACGCGGCCAGCCCGGGTTCGATTCCTCGGCCCCTCTTGGAGAGTCCGGCAAGCTACCGAAAGTATCTTGCCCGCACAGCAAGCTACCTGTGACGTATTCTATATGCCAAGAAACAGTAACAAGTCTCATAATTTGTTGTGAGATGTTACTGGTGCCCACTCGAGCAAATCGATGAACAACGGGAGGACAATGCTACAGTGCATTATAAAATAAAATAAAAAATAATAAAGTTTCAGAGGAGAGGCACATCTCCATTTCAGGGTGGCCCGCATCTTGATTTGCAGTGTGTGATTCCTCTCTGCTGCTTTACAGGGTGCCCTGGGCCATCTCCCAGCCGAAAGGTCTGTGTTCTCACTTGAACACATCACTCGCTCTTCCTCCTCATAGTCCCTAAACAAAACAGCTTTACCTTGAAAGAATAAAATTTCAAACAGTGACAAGAGCTGCCTACTACTTAATGCTCTGTTCCTGTCATCTGCCTCTGGCTGTTTCCTGTCTATTTGACTCAGTCGATGCTCACGACCGCTTTACAAGGACTCTGAGAACATCACTCCTTTGCACTATGTTTTTAAGTAGATTTCTCATAGAGTATTTCCAGAAACTCCCAGCTGAGTACATTCTGGGCAAGGGTCTAGTGGCAGAGCAAGGCTGGAGATGGCTTTGGGGTGGGGTGGGGGGAGTGTGGCATGGTCCCCCAGGTTCCAGACACCTTAGGGCAGGGGACTGGGGTTCTGGGGTCCCCATATGGTCCCCAAAGAGGCTCCTGTAGGACGAGGCAGAGCCTGAGCAGGCCTGCTGTCCCTCCTCCCCGTGGCCACTCTGGATGGGAGTTATAGCTACGGACCTGCTACAGGCACCCCGGGACCAGGGTCAGGGGACCCATGATTTCCAGGGCGGAGTCCGCCGGGGACCCATGTGGTGAGAAGAGCTTGGAGGTGTCCAAGGCTTGCTGCCCTGTGGCCCAAGGAGCCCCCTTGGAGGTTCAAGCTTCCTGCAGGGGAAGCTGGGGTACCCTGGGGTCATTGGCCCTGGTCCTGGAAGCCTGATCCAGTCCTCGAACCTTCCACCTGCACCGAACCTTAAGACCAGTTCATGGGCCCCAGCACACACTCTCAATCCACACGGCGGCCTCTGCGCCCTACAGTTCTGTCCTGCCGGCCCCCTCACCTGTGCTTCCCTGCCTCTCACAGCATCCTGACCAGTGGCCTACGCCCCTCACTGCCCTGGACTGCCTGTCCACCCCAGCCACAGCCCCCCACCCACAAGCAGATTCGGCCACCACCACACACAGCTGGGGCTGCGAAAACGCGAGTCTGCCCACGGGGGAGGGGCTTCTCTGCCCCCTCAGCACCAGGAGCTGTGTGCCAAGCGTGGAAAAGGCCCCTCAGAGACCCCTGGAGCCTCTGTCCTCTTCTCACTGCCCCTCCACATCCGCCCCACCCTGGGCACGGCGGGCGGCTTGCAGGGACAGTGTCGGGGTCTCCTGGCCGACCGGCCGTGGGCCTGCTGAGCCGCGCACACAGAACAGCCTCCGTACAAGCCGCAGCCGGGCCCCCGCGGCGCCCCGAGACGCCAGGGGGAGCGTCGGGTAACGGCCCACATTCCTCTGGACTTACTTGATCCCCAGAGCAAATCCTTGAGTCACTTCGCCTGCGTTGGGGCCAAGGAAGTGCAGGCCCAGCACCAGCTGTGGGGGCTCCCGCAGACACACCATCTGAAAGCCACATGGTCAGCGCTAGCCCTCGCGTGGGACCCCGGGGCTACATGGGAGGCCTGGCCTGGGGGCACGGGTGGCCCTGCTGGTACCCAGGGCCTTTGTGGGGTGGGTGGGAGTGCACCTCGACATCACTGTGTTCTGAGGGGCTGCGGGTTCCCACTCTGGGGGCGGGGGGACACTCACCTTGATGTAGCACTGGGTGGCATCCCGCTGGGCCACCGTGAACTCCAGTGGCTTGTAATGTGCATGGTAAACCTGGGGAAGACAGAGCGGGTCTGTGGGCTCAGTGGCTGCAGTGGGACCAGCCAGCGGGGGTTACTGTGTGGCTGTCCAGGGGCGCGGCTGTGGGGTGGGAATCTAGGACCACTGCATCAGAGTGCAGGCTGAGGTCCAGGACGAGACATCCTGGGCTTTTAGCGGAGTGGATCTTTCTCCCATACACAGCACCCACTGTCCGGGGACAGACTCTCTACCACTCAGGCCAACGTCCGGTGAACCAGGCCAGCCGGATGAGGGCCAGGCCACACCCACTGTGACGGGTGTCCCCTGGCATCTGGCTTCCCATGGGCACCCCAGGGTGTGCTGGGGTCTCTCGGGAGCCAGGGGCGGGGCATGCGCAGGGGTGCCCCCGGCCCACGCCCGAGCGGCCGGACAAAGGCTTTCAGCACTCGGGAAGGGCCCGACAGCACACTCAGGGCTGCGGCCGTGTAAAAAATGAACCGGGCCTCACATGTGCTCTACAGCCATTATTAATTAATGGAGCTTCAGAGAATATTGTTCTAACGAAGACAGAATTGAAAAGAAAACAAACAAAGGGTATTTGGCCATTCAACATTGTGAAACATAAAACAACATCATAAAATGCCATGACCATGTGTCCCAGTGTACTTGTGATGAATCAAACAAAAATAGCAAATAAAGTGCTGGGGGCCAGCCAGCCTGTCAGGCCTGGGCTGCTGATGGAAGGGACTGGGGCGCAGGGGCAGGGGGCAGGCCCTGGACTCACTTGCACAGTGTCCCAGGCCCAGCACGGGCATCACATGGGGTCTGGTTTCTCCTGGGCCCCCCACAAGTCTCTGCCTCACCCAGATAACGCCCTGCTGCCGGCCACCAGCCCCCTTTCAATGCCCTCCTGGTGATCCACCGGGCTGTGGCCTGAGCGCAGCCACGTCTGAGGGAGCCACTTCCTCCGGGATGATGACCCGGGTCTGGGGTGTCTGGGGCTGGCACGGGAAGGGGAGCATGAGGCTGGGGCGGGGGCAGGGGGCTCACACTGGCTGAGTCAGCAGAGGATTCACAGGAGCAGAGGCAGGCTGGGGCAGGTGAATAGGGGGCACGGGGGCAGAGGGCACGGGGCAGGCTATAGTCCAGGATCCCCTTCCTCCTGGGGCGGCACCCCCCACACCCTCGCACCTCGGGAAGCAGGACCCCCCCGCAGTCGCTCGCCCACCAGGCCCTCGATGTTTACTCTCTCATTTTGTTACTGTTTGGGTTTGAGGGCCACTTCAGGACCCTCCAGTGCTGGAGATGGAGCCTGACCTCCTGCATGCGCTCAGCCCATTGGGGTCTCTCTGGCCCTGGTTTATTTCGTATTTGCTCGATTTGTTATGTCAAGGTGGTAAAGGCCCTCCCGTTGATCGTCGATTTGCTTGAGCGGGCCCAGTAACGTCTCCATTGGAGACTTTGTTGTTACTGTGTCTGGCGTATCGAATACTCTCGGTAGCTTGCTGGGCTCTCCGAGAGGGGCGGAGGAATCGAACTCGAGTCGGCCATGTTGGCCGCTTGTAAGGCGAACGCCCTACCCGCTGTGCTATCGCTCCAGCCCTGCTATTTCGTATTTATTTATTATTATTGTGTGTGTATGTTTATGTGGTGTGTGTGTGGGGGGGGGGGGGTGCCAGGAGTTGAACCCATGTAAGGCATCACTGGGTCACTGGGCCACCTTCCTGGTTCCTGCTTTATTTTTATTTTCACTCCAATGGGGGCTGCCCAGTGATGCTTGGCCGGGCACAGCAGGCCCGGGAGTCCACAAAGAGAGTGGTTGTGTCTGGGGAAGTGTGGAGGGACTCACTGTGGTTGATAACACTCGAACTCAGGGCTTCACCCATGACAGGCAGGTAAACTCTACCAGTTGAGCTGTGTCCCTGTCACCCCCCAGACCCTCCTGGGCCTCCGTCAGCGGGGCTGGTCATGGGCCATAAAGGAGGCCCAGGTGCCCCCTGGGAGACTCACCTCCACGCCTTCCTGTCCGTGGCGGGCTACGGCTTCCTCCTCCGACAGTCCCACGCAGCCGTACTCCAGAGGGGTGAAGACGGTTGTGGGCACCTGGGGGGCAGATCCCACTCCTCAGGGCACCCAGGATCGAAGACCCCCCCTCACTCGAGACACTGAGGGCAGAGGGTCTGCAGAGCTATACCTCACAGGCGCCCCCCCCACCCTACCATAAACACCCGAGTACTGGCCACTCACGTTGTCATAGTCCATCAGGGCCGAGGACTGACCGCATAGCCTCTGTGCCAAGAGCTTCCCAGCCATGATGGCGGTGGGGGTAAGCTCGGGCCGGCCCTGGTGAAAGGAAAACATGGGAGTCACTGCAGTACCATGTCGGAGGGACCCCCACACCTCTGGCCATACGAGGGAGGGGTTTCCCATTTTAAGACTCTCCCTGAAGCTGTGCTCAGGGTCCAGGCAGACCCTTGGTCTCCTTCTCCCTCCTTAGTGCACCCCTGCAACACTCCCATGAACCGGGCACTCCTGAGCACAGCCCCCCGTTCACGCTGCCTGTGGTATCACAAACGGTTTTTTCATGCCAGCAGCCCGCGAGAGCTGCCCCGACAAGGCTGCGGAGGCCCTGGCACTGTCCAGCCATCCCGACACTGGGAGGCGGCCATGGAGAAGCGCTGTGCTCCCCCCCCCCACACCCCATATTCGACTTGCACCCTAGAGCCCCCAGACCAGAAGGCGGTCGTGCTGTGGGCCCCTCTATCTTGGGGCAGTGGGGAAGGAGCGCTGGGGGTGCGCGGCCCCTGGGGCTCTGCACGCGTCAGCCTGGGACCAGCTGCCAATCACCTCTGCAGCAGCAGGAAATGCAGATGTTGTTTGACATTCCAGAAATGAATGGAGATCTGCCGAGATAAACGCGCAGAGGCAGCCTGCACATTCCACTGTGCCTGGCTAACGGCGGAAACGGCCAGGGTGCGCACACAATGCCTCATTAGCCGGGGCCGCCCCATCCTGCCTGGACTCTTCCCGGCTGCCCGCTGCACCAGTGGGCAGGGATTCTTCGTTGTGTGAACCATGATGCCAGTGGAGCTGCCTGTGAGCAGATCCTGTACCAGCTGGGTGTTTCCAATGACTGTCGAAAATCTCACAGTCTCCTGCACAGTGCCAGGGGCCTGGCAGCTGACGCCCTCCCACTTGTCTGGCTCTCGGGCTGCCCAGCGCGTGTACCCAACACGCATGAGTGCTCTTGCCCAATCCTGGGGTGCAGCACACACGTGGCTCGAAGGAGGCCTCCATCAGCCCCACATCATCCGAGCTCACACCTGGCTGCGCGGGTAGCTCAGCAGGACCACGGGGGTCCGTGAAGCTGCTCACTTTTATCTTCTACCAGGTGGACGAGAGGATCTGGCCCTGGGCAGTGCAGGAAGCAGTCAGGCACAGCTGGGCTCTCCCTGTGGCTGTTGCAGTGCGGCGAGAGGCACCCACACACTATCATCCTCTTTATTCCAACAGTGCTGGGAACCCGGCTCAGGCTGCACCCATGCCAAGCTGGAGCTGCACCACTTGTTTCCTGAGTTTCAGGGCTTCCTGAGCCCCGGTTCATGGTGGGCAGGGACAGGGCTAAAAGGCAACAATTTGTCTCTGGTTTGGTGGGTGACCCCCTCTAGCACCTGGGAACTCATGGGGCCAGGAATCTGGCAGGACAAACCCTCACGAGACGGGAAGGCTGGTCCTTCCAACACCAAGGCCCTCGGGGCGTGCTCCCTGCCCTGGCATCTGAGTGTGTGCCAAGTTCTCCCCAGGCTTGTGCCCCTCGTGAGTGCAGCAGGGACCAGTGGGAGCGGCGAGGAGGGCTGGACTCCCAGGGAAGGTGACCTGTGCTCCTGGGCCCCCTCGCCCTGCGGATGTCCACTGGACATGCCAGCCCCCATGACCTCCAGCAGCTTCCCTGGTGTAGTGTCCACTGCTTGCGGGTGTGAATTAGTAGAGCTCCCCTGTCTCCACCCCGTGGGATCCGTGCCACGCCCCCTCCCCCCACACACACCAGCTGGGGAAACTTCCAGCACCTGAACCTGTGGACTTGTCACCTGTCATCCTTATCTGCAGGACACCTCTCTGGGGGCCTGCGACTGCTGTCTGTTCCTGCAGTGGCCCCAGGACTCAGAAAAGTGGGTGCTCAGCCAATACACGAGTGAAGCTAAATTAACACAACGGACGGGGTGCGGGGTGCAGAGCATCCCCTCCACATTCACATCTGCCTGGACTTCAGAACCTGACCTTCTTAGGGCAGGCTTCTTGTGGGTCAGTTGAGGTCACACTGGAGAGGGCCCCCTCCAGGAGGAGAACCCCGACAGGAGAGCAACAAGGGAGAGAGAGTGAGAGCATGGGGGGCTATGGCACATACAAGGTGATCCTGGTTAGATCTCTGCTTCCACATGGCCCCTGAGTACCACCAGGTGTGGCTCTGCTGGTCCTCAGCACAGCAGAGCCGGGCACTGAACCTTTCAACCTGGCTGGCTGAGAGGCATTAGGAGTGGCCCCTGGGCCCCCTGATTATAGTTCAGGAACACCCACCATCCCCCAGACAGTAGCAACAACTTGTCCCTATAGTGGGAATGTGACTCCACACAGGCACTCCACAGGAACCCTCCAGAGAGCAGGGTCAGGCCCAGAGGCCCATCTGGTGACCTCCGAAGCATGATGACAGGTGTGGAGTGTGGGCTGTACCTCTGCCACGTCTCCGATGGCGTAGATGTGGGGGACGGACGTGGCTTCTGTGGCATCGACCACGATCTTCTGATTGCTGGGGTTAGTGCTCACACCAGCCTTCTCCAAGCTCAGGCCTCTGGTCTCTGGAACTCGACCTACGACACACAAAGAAGGGCCAGAAAGGTCTTTGTTAGTGCTTCTGACCTGTGCTCCTCGGCTGAAAGCACTTCTTGGAAAGTCACGTACCAGGGATATGACGGACCACACCTGGCTGTGCTCAGGGACCACTCCTGGCTCTGGGCTCAGGGAAAGAATCAATCAACGTTTCTGGGATTTTTTTTTTTGGTCTTGGAATGTACACCTTGAATTGGTAAAACATGAAGCTCACAGGGTCTTGCACACAATCCCACACACTCACACAGGTTCACACACCCACATACCCATTTGCTCCCACACACACACATTCACAAGCTCTCGTATAAAAACGGTCACATGGCTCACACACATGTGCTCACACACTCATATACATAGATATACCCACACTCCATGCTCACACATGCCCCCACACCCTTACACACGCTCGCACACTCACCCCTACAAACACTTGCACACTCACACCCTGCGGGGACTCAGGAAGGGGAGAAAGCAGGACCGGCAGAAGCAGCGCTACAGGAGCGGGCCAGATGTTCCAAACATCATGGAACAGTTGATTTGTATGTGAAAGATATCAAGGAAAGCCGTCCAGTACAGACCTGGACTCTACGAAGCTGTGAGGGCTCCACAGAAAGAGACTGAGGCCGTAGGCACCTGTGTCCACTGCGCATCCTCAGAGAGCTCTGGCAACACACAGAAGCCCACAGACTTCACGCATCAGAGAGGGCAGTGGCAACGCTGCCATACGAAACGGGAATTGGAAATTCCTTATTTGTAAAGTCAGAAGTCTGGGCTCTGACAACAGAAGCATCTAAAAAAGCAGCCAAAAAACCAGAGGGGTGTGGATCCCCTCACCCCCAAACTGTGCTCTCAAACGCCCCCTGGCAGAAGGGGACTGGAGTCCTTGGGTCTCTCCAGGCCTGGAGAGCATGAAGGGACCCCAGGCCCACAGCACAGTTCACGCAGCCTGAGCCCCAGGAGGAGCACGGAATAGACACAAAACATGACTAGGCCAGACTGTGGACACCCGTGAAGTGTGGACAGGTGGCTCCTGACCTAGCAACGGACACAACGCACAGCCACGGGCATGTCTGGATCAGGGATCTGGGATACAGGTGTGTGCTCCTTGGGGTCTCCTACCCAGGGAGCCCAAGTGAGCCGACAGACTCCGACACCCCTCCCCAGTGCAGGGCCTCTCCCACCATGAGTCCTGATGTCTCTCTGCACTTCTGCAGGTTCTTCCTGGATGCAGAGCGACCAAGCTTCCCTGTGGGTGGACACTGTGATCCTACCACTGGACTGTGCTGGCATACAGGCTGCACAATACATCCTGGGCAGGGCCACAGACACCCGTGAAGTGTGCTGCAGAGGGCTAGGCTGACCCCAGGAGGAGGGAAGAAAGCACTGACCACGCCGGCTCAGGGCCTCAGGCCGGCCCACAGGCTCTGGGTGCGAGTGAGTGTGTGAATGGGTAAACGGGAGCGTGGGTCAGTGGGAGTGACTGGGTGGTGGATAGGTGAGAGGGTGGGTGAGTGAATGAGTGGGTGGATGAGTAGGTGGGAGGTAAGTAAAGGGTGAGTAAGTGGGTGGGTGGGTGGGTGTGCAGGCGGGTGAGTGAGCCTAGAGTCCAGGCCTTTCGAAGCTCCCTGGGACTGGGGAGACACTCAGGGACAAAAGCATTCTTGGCCTGCTGGATTCCTAGCACCATTCCCAGTCCTGCGTGGTGTCTCCTGAGCACCTGCCAGGGGCAGTTCCCAAGTCCCTGTGCCCGCCTGGGTTTGGTTCAAGTTGCCCCTGCCTGCTAAAACTAAGCCCCATGCATGGATCAAGCTCCGCTCCTGAGCGCCAGCTTCCTGCTGCCCCGATGTTGAGGAACTGATAAGACCGGGTCTAGGGGCAGCTCCCACACAAAAAAACCCTTACACCCAGCAAGCAGCCGCCCCCGGGGGCAGCAGCTGCCCAGTCCAGCCAGACGGCCCAGCTGTCCATCGGATCTGCCCTGAGGCTCCCACAAGGGTAGGTGAACCCCATCTCAGCCAAGACGAAGGATTTCAAGCTGGAGTGATGGTGCAGCAGGTAGGGTGCTTGCCTTGTGTGCAGCTGACCAGGCTGATCCCTGGCACCCGAGCCCAAGGAGTGATCCCTGAGCACAGAGTCAGAAGTCAGCCCTGAGCACTGAGTGTGGCCCCGAAACCAAAACAAACAAAAAAGGAAGAGACCCAAAGCAGTTTCCACAGATCCCACAGGCAGTGGGTGGTGCCCATCTGAGCGCTGAGGACTAAGGCTTGAAACGGAAACCCTGAGTGTCCAGCTGTTCTCCCGGAGACAGAAGTCAAAACAGAGACTTGGATAAGCCTCGCTTCTCAAGTTTGTGGGGCGCTGGCTCCAGGCTCTTGACTCTGCTGGCCGCAAGAACCAGGAGCCGGGCGGGCTGGCACCACCTCAGCTCCAACCCAACACAGAGGCCAAGGCCCCAAAGGGAGGTCCCTGCCTTCTGACGGGGCGGGAGATAATGGGGGTTGGGGGGGCAGCTCAGCGTCAAAACCCTTGTCCTGCAAGTGTGAAGCCCTGGAGTACACCAGACACACAGAAGTGTGTGTATCATGGGTGTGTGGGATGTTGAGGGGTGGGGCCCAGGCTGGTCTCCTGTGTGTGTGTGTTGGGGGGGGTGCAGGGGAGGTGATTTCTAGACACAAAAGCCAGGAGCGCTGGCACATGTGGGGAAAGGCGCAGCTGTGCCTTGGGAGCCCCAGGCCCCCTTTCTGCAGGGCCGCGGCCTGCCTGGAGCCTCTGCAGTCCCAGTCCTGTGTGTGGGCAGGGGTGTAAGTTCCAGCCCCCAGCCAGACACCTGGAGCCCCACACAAAGTGCAGAATGGGGAATGGGGTGCCGGGCTGCTTGGCCAGACTGGACCGGCCCAAAGCAAGACATAGGTGACTTTTTTTTTTTTGCTTTTGCTTTTTGGGTCACACCCAGCGATGCACAGGGGTTACTGCTGGCTCTGCATTCAGGAATCACTCCTGGCAGTGCTCGGGGAACCATATAGGATGCTGGGAATCGAACCTGGGTCAGCCAAGTGCAAGGCAAACACCCTACCCACTGTGCTATCGCTCCAGCCCCCATCGGTGACTTTCTGAGTCACTCCCTGACCGTTTTCTTCCAATCACACGTAAAAATAAAGGTGGGGGTTGGGGAGAATGTGCCCCTGTGCCAGACCCTGTGGCACCCGGCTGTTGCGCTCGCCCTTTCCCTATTCCACGTGGCCTCTTGTTCCCCCGGCAGGCGTGGCCTGCATGCGGCAGTCCACTGAGGCTGCGGAGTGCCCCAACCTCCACAGGCTGAGGTGCTGGGCGCAGAGTGCTCCCTGCAAGAGGCCTCGGTCCTGGGGCAGGCAGGCGCTGCCAGCTTAGCTCTGAGGGCAGCCGAGGCTCAGGGTGCCTCTCGGCTGCTGCTTTAATTCATTGGATTTAATTCATTGGATTACCAGTTATCTAAGGCATCCAAGAACTGCCACGGGCTTTGTATTTTTTTCACCACGTGAACGCTTCTCGAGAAATGCACATTGCACACGCAAGGCTCTGCAGGATCGCCCATGGTGGGGCTGCAACTGTGCACCAGCATGGTCGGGCCCGCATCCCCCCGCACTCAGAACTACACCTCCCCAGGTCCAGCCTCTGGGGCACTAGGGAGGACAACGAACGGCCCACAGGTTCTTAGTGCAGCTGGACCAGGGGCGCCGCCTCCGACCCCCAGGACCCACCACCCGGCCCCACGCACCCTCCCCAGAGACGGGAACCACCCACGGGGAGGCTTTGGGCATCTCGACCTGTGCGGGGCACAGGGGTGCAGAGGCCCACGTGGGCGGCTTCATGTGCCCTTCCATCCTGCTCTGGGAAAACGGACATTCCCTCCGATTTCACGGTTGCCTGGGGCGCATGTTGGGACAAGCTAAGGGCAATCCGTGTAATGAGGTAAGATTTAAGCACCAGCAGGAGGATGACGGGCAAAGGCGAGGCTGGGATCAGCAGACGCACCGGGTGTCGAGGAGCCGACCAGAGGCTCAGTGCCCGGAGGCGGAGGCAGGGCAGGCTGGACCGGGCGGCGCGGGCCAGGGCCCAGCTGTAGCTTCACACACGGGCCCAGGGGGACCCACACCAGGCGAACCTCTGAGGAACACGAGCCCCTCGGAGCCAGGTCTGTGCAGGTCACCGGGCCAGGGGCTGGAGCGACAGCACAGTGGATCAGGTGCTTGCATGCTGCCAACATGGGTTCTGTCCCCGGTATCCCATAAAATCCCCTGAGCACAGACAGGAGTGATCCCCGAGCACAGAGCCAGAAGTAAGCCCAAGGCATTGTCAAGTGTGACCCCGATCTTTACAAATTAAACAAATAAATAACCTGTGGCCAAACCACAGATGCAGAAGGAAGGAGGGGGTCTCACCTCTGGTCAGATCCTTGAATGACTTGGGGGTGAGGGGAGGCCACAACCAACACTGCTCAGGGATCACCCCTGGTGGGGCTCAGAGGACCATAGGGGATGCCAGAGATTGAATCTGGGTTGGCTGCATGCCAGGCAAGAGCCTTACCTGCTGTGCGAGATCCGTGGGGAACTTTTAGAAAAAGAAATGGGCATGCATTTGTTCGCCTTCAAGACTTGAAAGGAAAGGGGAAATAACCATGAAGGGCCCTCACCAAGTCCCAGACCCCCAGGGTTTGAGGGAGATCCTCCTGGCCTTCGCACCCCTATGGGCTCCATGGTGCCCACTGAATGCTCCATGGCTGTGTGACATGTGGCACTCCCTCCACCGGCATCCCCGGAGCTCCACAGGCTTCCTCTGGGGTCTCGTGTGGGACACTCCCTGATACAGGTCTGCACTCACTCGGGGCATACAAGACTTCCTAATCTAAAGCTGTGTGAGCACTGAGCTCTGAGCTCAGTCCTTGAACTCAGAGGAGCCCCTGCCCAGGCCTAAGGAACCCCCCAGGAAGGAACACGCTGTGAGCCAAGAAATCACTGCTTCAATGCAGTAGCTAGAGGAATACAATCTTTTGGGGGGCTGGCTGCTCAAGGGGTATCTGCAGAATCGATCTTTTTTGGTTTGAGGGTCACCCTTGACTGTGCTCAGGGCTCACTCCTGCCTGTGCACGCAGGTTTCGCTCCTGGCAGGCTCTGGGGACCACATGGGGTGCAGGGGATTGAATCTGGTTGGCCACGAGCAAGGCAAGCACCCTGCTCCCTTCTGCAGTCGCTCCAGCCCTGGGCACCTGCAGAAATGCGAAGGTCCATCTCAATGTGTGTCAACAGTGCCTGTTTCCCACCAGTTCTTCAAAATTGGTTCCCCTTGATTCTGAACCATAAACACAGAATCTGCCCGGGGTGCAGGGGAAATGCCAGGGGCCTTGGGGAGCCCTACGCAGGCTGTCCATGAAGGCAGTGGAACCCAGGTGAGCCCATATGTGCCAGTCCGCAGTGTCTTGCCTCACAAGGGGGTGGACGCCAGGCCGGCCCCCAGCACCGCACTGTCCCCTGCGGCCTCTGCATGGGACAGAGGTAACCACGGCGCTAAGCTGGCGTGGCCGCAAACCTGCACAGGGGCACTGGAGCTCTGTCTGGGGCCCAGGTGTGGTGCTGCCAGTCACCACCATGGCTCCCGCTGCCCTGGGCCAGAGAAGGTGGCCCCTGGAAATGCTCTGCCCTTCGCCAAACACAAGCAGACTGGGCACGCCCTGAAGACTGACCACTGACTTCACGGGTGCCCGGGGTCCCGGCAGAGCTGAGCTGGGCAGGGCTGTGCTGGGCGCGCCCACGCTCACCCCTTCCTTCCCCTCTGCTTGCTGTCACCTCGAGGTTGCTGTTTGGGCACCACCCACCCTCTCCCACCACTTGCCACCTGCAGGCGAGACTCGCACGGGTGCTTGGCTGAACCCCTGCTAAGTAAGGGCAGCAATGCCACCCACTGGGACAAGCATCTCCCCTGGGGTGCCCCAGGCTGATGCACTCACTCCCTGCACCCATCCCCTTGCTGCCCAGGCACCACCTGGCCCCCTGGCCACAGCTCCTGCCCACACAGTGGAGGGGGGCCTGATGGAGGGTCTCCCTGGGGCGAGGGCAGCGGGCTGGACAGCTGGGCCTCTGCGCCCGTGTCGGAGCTCGCTGGCCCTCCTGGAACAGGGTTACCCTTCCAGGGGCTCAGAGGGGTCCTGTACATGGGGTGGCCATGGATGGGACAATGACCAACAGCTCTCCTGAGACAGAATCTACAGGAAGGGGAAACAGCTTCAGTGACTGACCCCCGGAGGCATCCCCAGCCAGACAGAGAGGATACCCGAGGCAGGGTCCCCTGAGACGAAGACGCAAAGGCCTGCTTCCTTGGAAGCCAGAGCACCTTCCAGGGCGGCTGCGGGTGCAGGGGCCACCGCGGGACTGTCTCTGCTCCTGAGGTTCCCAGGCTCTCCCCAGGCCCTCTTTCTGGGCATGCCACGGGAGAGGGGTGCGCGTGCAGATGCCCCGGCCCAGCCCCCCCCCCCCCCCCCGCTGCCCCAGACGGCTGGGATTCAGGCCACAACTGGTTAACTTCGAGGGGTGAATTCGAGCCCGCGGCGCGGCGGGGCACAGGCTGAGTGTCTTCACTCAGCACCGTAATCGGCACATCTGCAGACAGGAAATCCTCCTCGCTGCGAGTTCCCAGTCTATTATCTGAGACACCTGGTGTGGGTGGGTGATTCAGAGACAAACAATGAGCGGGCCCCCTGCACAGCAATTAACTGCTTTAACTGCTAATGTGTTTAATCCACCACGTGGAGATCAAGGCTGCGCCGAGGAAGAGGCTCTGCGTCCTGGCTGGCTTCGACCGCGGAGCCAACTTGGCCAACTTGGCCGTCCCTCCCGTCTCGGTCGGTGCGGGCCTGCGCGGGGCTCGGGCACCCGCCCCCCGCTGTCCTCTGAGGCCTGTGGGCAGCCCGGGTGCTGGGGAGCTGCTCGCTGCTGCCCCAGCTGTGCCGGCCCCCGGGCATTTCACGTTCGCCTCCCGGATTGGCTCATCCTCACTGCAAGCAGAAATGAAGCCGGGTTGCCGGCTTATTGGGGGGAATTGGCAGAAAAACATCCCCCCAGTTCTGAGACTGGGAAGTGGCTCCTGACTGTTTACAAAACCGGGCCCGGGAGCGAGCGGCACAGCCAGCACATGCCCGCACAGCCCCAGCAGGCGTGCCAGAAACCGCCGCCACCGCAGCGCCGCCTGGGGAAGCGAGGGCAAAGGCCAAGGACTCGAGAAGCCTCCACCCCCGGCATCAATCACGCCGGGCAGACTGTCTGGGGGATGCTCTTTCGGAAAACACACAAAATAAAACGGACTCCCGGCGGGGGAGGGCGGGGTGTGGGCTGGGGGGCCCTGGCTGGTGGCCCGCTGGGACCGTCGCGAAGCTGGGGGCGATGTGGGGCCTTTCGGAGGGCACGACCCTTCGCCCCCTGAGCAGCTGCCGGCAGTGTGAGCGCAGCTGAAGGCAGCTGGGTACAAGCCTGGGCCTCGGGACGACAGGGCGACACGGGGATCTGTGTGCGGGGTGGGGGCCTCGGAGAGCACCGGGCGGGAGACTTGCCGTGTCGCTGTCTAGAACAGTTTACGATGCCAAGCATGGACTTCCACCCTGGGATCCCCTCATCAGAGCCCACGGGATCCTACCTACTGAGAACGCACCTTTACAGGGCTGGGGAGATAGTCCAGGAGTCAGGGCACAGGCCCCGGGTTTGATCCCAGCACCACAAGGCTCCGAGCATCACTGCGTGTAGCCCCAAAGGCTCCATGCCCTCCAACTGCTGGGAAGTGGCCACCAGGTCTCCTGAGCTCAGCTTGGGCACCCCCGGCCCAGCCCAGAAATGTACTTTCACAGTTTGATCAAGAGGGTGTCCTTCAGGCTGAGCAAGCCCAGAGTTTAGTTGCTGGCACAGCAATGTCCCTTGAGCACCACTGACCCAAAAACCAAAATGAGGGCCAGGCATGTGACCCAGTAGTAGGGCACTTGCCTGGCAGGTGTGAGGCCCAGGGTTCATCCTGGGAACCTCAAAATAGTAATAATACAATTTGGGGTGGGGGCAGAGTGTTTAGGCTACACCCAGTGGTACTCAGGACTCACTGTGAGTTCCGTGCTCAGGGATCATTCCTGGTGTGGCTTGGGGGACAATATGAGGTGCCAGGGATTAAGCCCAGGTCAATTGCAAGCAAAGCAAGTGTGTGTGTGTGTGTATATATTATACACACACACACACACACACACACACACACACACAAAGGAACAATTGCATAAAAGAATTTTTTGTCCTCAGTAACCCCTCGGCTTTTTCTGGTCAAGAGACACTAAGGTTGCTCTGGAGCACTTGAGGTTTCCTGTGGTCCCTCAAATCTGCGCGTGTTGATGTGTAAGTGAAGAAATCTGCTCCCCCAGAGCCCACCTCATTCTCTGACTTCCGGGGTTCTGAGACACTCGGGGGAGCCCCAGGCCAGGCCCCTCCCCACCCCAACTCTGGGTCAACATGCCGTGATTCAGGGCATTTGAGATGACGGCCCTGGCAGTCACACACTCTGGCTGGTTCACTGAGGAAGTGTCACCAACGCACCCAAGGAGAAAGCCCGCCCTGTCTGGGAGTCACCAGCTAATGAGAAGCACCCCAAGGTCTGCAGGGGGGATGTTTAAGCAGGCATCTGACCTCACAGCACCCCAGCGGTCAGCGATCTTGGGACTGGAGAGAGAGCGCAGACTGCTCTCACCCAGCTCTGGGTCCGGGTGCCTGAAAGGCTCGTGTCCTCTCCATCAGCCCAGACCTATGGCCTGTGGCCACACCCCATAGCATCCCCTCAGGAGGAGCAACAGGGCGGGGGGAGAGAGGCGGGCAGGGGACTGGCTGGCAAGGAGGCATCCAGCCCACTCCCTCCTGGGAGAGCCTGAGCATGTGGCCCCTTCAGACTCCATCTCCGGGACCCTGTCAAGTGTCACTTGTGGAGGTGACAATGCAGCGGGTAGGGCATTTGCCTTGCAGGAAACTGACCCCGCTTGTTTCCCCCGCACCCCGGATGGTCCTCTGCTCACCATCAGGGGTGATTCCTGAGTGAAGAGCCAGTAGTAACCCCTGAGTGTGGCCCAAAGCGTTAAACATTTTTTCAAAGTGTGAGTTCTGGAGAGGCCAAGGAGATGGTCACGGACTTCTGGCTAACCTGAGCGGGGTCCAGGGCGGAGTCTGTAGGACAAGGGAGCCCTACAGGGGAGGCTTGTACATATGAGCGCAGGGGTGTGTGTGCACATGCAAGTACGTGTTTGAGAGTACATGAACGTGAGTGTGTGTGTGCACGCGTGTGCGTGTGTGCAGCTGCAGGTGCCCTTACCTATGGCCCACAGAACAGTGTCAAAGGTGCCTGTGTCCTTCTTGCCGGACGCACGGTCCTCCCAGGTGACTTCCAGCTGGCCACTGGGGAGCCTTGTCACTTTGGAGGGAATACAGCCTCTCAGAAAGTGGGTGCCATGCGACTCCATGTACTCCGTGACCAAAGAAGACATTTGCTGCCAAGCACAAGAGGATAATGTGAGGTCCAGACAGCAGAGGCCCCATGGTTCCCAGTTGTGTGGCCTCGTGGGGCAGTCCAGAGGTGGTCCAGTGCGTGCACCCTTTCTGCTACATGGTCCTACACAAGACTCGTCCCTCACTCCGGGCCCCCTGCTCTCTCTGGAGCTGAGGGTGGATCAGAGACCAGTGGGCATCCTGGTTCCAGATCTGGACATTTGAGGCCCGTCGCTCAGGACACATTCGACCTCTGAGCTGCTCCCCAGCAATTAGAGAAGCGGAGAGCAACACCCCCTTCTCCTGGGCTCTGTATCCGGATGCCCACGACTACCCCCATCCAGTGGGCCACCCCTCTGCCATTAAGGCACTCGGACGGCGGCACTGTGGCCCCCCAACAAATGGAAGGGCAGTGGGCAGGGCATAAGGGACATGAGGGGCATCTGGGAACCTGCAGCGAGCTCCTCCCGCCCCCCAGGCTGCAGACGGGGACTTCAGTTCCCAGGGACTCTGTGGGGACAGCAGCAGGCCAGAGGCACAGCCAGCGACAGCCTCTTTCAGAGGGAAGCGCAAGTCCCAGTCTGGTCCCGTGATATCCACCCCGTGGCTGTAGGCAGTGGGGCAGCCGCCCTGCCCCTCTTGGACCCCTCTGCTCTCCTGATGGGCTTCGATGTCCCATGTCACAGTTTGACAGGGCATCAGTATAGTGACCGGGAGAACCAAGCCAGGCCTGGGACCCCTCCCTCGGGGCATATGTGGAGCTGGCCCCCTCCCCAAAGCCGGAAGCTCAGAGACTCATCATGGATGCTGTGTGCCCTGGGGACGCCCAGACTGTGGGGGGCTGGGGCGCAGCCACAGGAGGAGATGGGAAGCAGCATCAGAGCATGCGGGGAGAGGCAGAGGGAGCCCAGGGCTGGAGAGGCAGGTGGGGCGAGATGGGTTCTGTGGGCCTGGACAGGGTGATGACAGCTCAGACAGGTGAGCTTGTGGGGGACATTCTAGTCAGTAAGAGGGAACACTCAAGGACTCCCCCGTGGGTGTGTTCACCTCAAGCACAGGCCTCGCGTGGCAGAGGGGATCAGGAGCACCCCGAGACCACAGGCCTGCCTGAGCTGAGCAGTATCACTGGAGCAGGGAGGTCCTGCTCAGAGGCAAGCTGATGCTCCAAGCAGGCTCCACACCCCGAGATCTGGCGCTCATGGGACTCCCCGGGGCTCCCTGAGCTGCCACCTGCCCCTCCACTCCCGCCCCCAGAGGGCCTTGGCAAACAAGAATGTGGACAGGGCTTCTGGCTGGACCGAGGGTCCCCACTGCACAGCAGAACCCAGCCCCTGTGGCCCCTGGCAGTTGTGGTCTGCACCCACCCTTCTTCCCAGGTTCTGGCAGGTGCTGCGCATTTGGGGAGCGATCTCCTCAGTCAACAGTCAACGGTCAGGGCCTGCACCTGCCCGGGCTGGGGGCGGGGAGCACGGGGCATTACCTGGTCGAAGCCGCGGAGGGGGACGCTGCGCATCATGACCGTGGCGTCCAGGCCTATCCCGGTGAGGAAGCCGGCACACTCCAGGGCCACGTCTGAGGGGCAGCTAAGGATGCTCGCAAGGCCACACAGGAGCCGGGCTGACCCCACCCCAGGCTCAGCTACCCACCTCCTTCTGACCCCCACGCTACCCAGGAGACCCCTGCAGGCCTGGGGAAAGGGAGATTCCTGGCAACCAAGGCCCAGGCAGGTGCTGCCACCACGGGGTGTCTGTCTGGGTTCGACAGAGTCTAACACTTTAAAAATGTTTGCAGGGGGAGCTGGCAGCACCCAGCAGTGCTCGGGCAGGTATTCAGCTTCCTCCTTGTTCTGAGCTCAGGAATCTCTCCTGGCGGTGCTTAGGGATCGTACGAGGTGCCAGGCCTCACACCAGAGCCTGCCACATGCAAGGCAAGAGCCTTTCCCCTCACACTAGCTCGCAGCCCTGAACGTTAGTTTAAAGGTGCCAGAGAATGAGCCCCGGGAAGGTAGGTGCTTTCACACAGAGCCCCCTGAGCTCCCGAGAGTCTGATCGACCCTGGAACAGTCCCAGGAGCAATGGAGGAAGAGCAAAGATGTCCTCCTGCAGTGGGAGCTCTGTCAGCACCCGGCCTCTCCCCTTCCGGCAGATGTTCCCCCTCCTGACCCTGCACTGCCCACAGCTTCTCCCCGGACAGAAGCCCCTGGGTGTGCGGCTCCCTGAGAAGGGACGGCCTGACCGGGGCTGCTCGCCTGCCTCGCCGCAGTGTCCAGCTGCCCCGGGGGCTCAGTTGTCTCATGTATGGCTCAGAAAAAGCCTGTCCAGGAAGTCCTGGTCACAAAAGGTCAACCTCAAGTTGTCCCCTGGGCAACAGGCACCAATCCCGAGGCCGTGTGCTGAGTGCCTGGTTCCAGGTGGCTGTGGGAGGGACAGCACTGGAGACTCTCAGGAGGGTGAGCACTGTCTCTGGTCACTGCACGCTGGCCAAGGATACAGCTGGCCCCGACCACCAACCTGCCAGAGAAACGGACAGAGGGAGAAAGAAGTGAGTTCCACATGCAGTGCCCATAAGGCTCAGCAGGTGTTCCAGAGGATCCCAGGGGCGCCGGGTGCAGGGTCGTTCAGCCTCCAGTGAAACCCATGAATCTGCAGGTGTGACCCCATTGATGAGTCCGGGGCAGTGGGAGGAGAGGGCACTGTGTGAGGTGTGAGGTGTGTGTAACTGTTCAAACACAAAAAACCACTCAGAGACAAAAAACCACTTCCCAGAGGCTCCAGCTGAGAAATAAAGCCTGAAGGTGTCGCTGAGTCGGAAATTGCCTGGTGATGAAGGACATGAGTGGCCAGTGACAACAGCACACGTGTCCCACGAAAGCCCCACAAGCAGGACCACATGGAGCCCAGGAAGGAGCCGAGGGGCCTGGACAGAGCGTCAGGCTGTCCTCCTGCCCTGGGCACCTTCTGGGCTTGGCAAGTGAAGGGCACGTGCTGCCCGAGCTCCTGTCCAGCCTCCTCACGCGGCCCAGACCCGGCAAGGCAGCTGAGGACGGGCACCAAAGGTCAGGCCCCAGCACTCATGTAAATGCCCTAGCAGTGTACGCTCCACACACACAGGCACCCACACCCACGCACATACGTACATAATACACACATGCACACATGCACCCCCACAGTAAATATACACGCACCTACACACGCACATGCACACATATACATATGCACATACACACATGCATGTATACACACGTGTGTGCACACACATACACAGACATGCACACACTCCCACCACACACACACATGCACACACAGACATGCACACCCCCCCCACACACACACACACACACACGCACACGCACACACTCGCACACAGTTCAAGCCAGCTGCTCGGGACCCAGCACAGGGCGGAAACTCCCAGCCCGGGCGGCGACATGTGGGTGGGCTTGTCAGAGCACCCTTCGGTCTTTGAACAAGAGGAGGTGATGTAAGGACGGATAAGCCCGATGTCAGCGCTAATCCTGGCAGGTACTAATGATATAATTCCAGTTCAGAAGGCAGCGGATCCCGGCCTCATTCTGCAGGCAACCCTGCAGGCAGCAACTGGCCGGTGGCTTCGTCTCTGTGGCAGGGGACAGACAGGTGCTCGAGTCACCTCTGGGGAACGCACAGCTCAGTGTGTGCACAGCGTGGGAGGGAGGTCTGGGCCAAACAGTGCAGAAAGCCAGTGGGGGCCCACTCAGGGCTGGCAGTGCCTGAGCCCCAGACCCAGGGACACGTGTGCATGCGCGTGTGACCTCTCCTCCACGCACAGGGGCATCTTCAACTGACAAAACCTGGGCCAGGAGACAGTGTAGTGTCAGGAGACCTGCCCAGCATGCACCCAACCTGGGTCCACTTCCCAGCACCACACGGTCCCCCGAGCACCACCAAATGCAGCCCCAGAGGCTCCCAGCACTGCCGGGGTGGCCCAGGGGTCCCCAGTAGCACGAGGCCCAAAGCAGCACCACATCCATGGACCCTCGCATTGAACCCCTGGCCTGGCTGGCTGAGAACTGCCGGCTGGTTCTGTGCCTTCTGAGCACCTCCTGGGAGGGCTTCTCTGCAAAATAACCAACTCTGGTTTTGGACTGGATGTGTCTGGTGAGAGGCATAAGCCTTTCTTTAAGGCGCAAAATTATGAGTTACTTAAAATACAAACAAACAGCATTGAGCTGCTTTGAAAGTCTTGTACTAAATGCAAGAGCGCAACTGGGTGAGAACATCCCTAGCAGATGCGGGTCCCTGGCTCCCCACTTCCACGTGTCCGTGGTGACGGAGGCATGAGCCAACCAGCTACAGCCTGTCCCTGCTGCTCCCGGGGCCTTCCCACCCCGGCCGGCACCTCTGGGATGGCCCCGAGTCCAGCATGCAGCCACAGAGCTCCTGCGGAGGGTAACCCAGCGCCTCTCATCCTTAGGCGCGAGGATTAGCCAAAGTGTTGGTTTTCACTCCGCCTCTCCCCCCACTTATCAAATAATTAGAGCTCTTTGAACGTGGCAGGAATTGAGGATTCAACCAGAGAATTCCCTTCACGTGGGCTAATGTGTGAACATGCCGGAGCGCCAAACAGAGGCCTGAGGGCAGAGCGCCGCTGAAGATAGGCACCCCGGTTCCATGGTGGGCCTGACACCTTTGCCAGCTTCACTCGCCAGGACAGAGGCCCTGGGGGACCAAGGGGGATGCCCTCGAAGGGCAGCAGTGTGGACAGCAGCAGAGGTCAGGGACCTGCCTGGGTGATCTGGGGAAGGGGCTAAGCCTGGAGGGGGTTGCTCAGAACACTCAACTCACCCCTACAGTAAGACCCGGGCCCAGGGCACCAGCCCAGGTCACAGTCCAGCGCGCCCCACCCCTCCGCCACCACCGCAGCACACTCAGTCACGTGTGCCCTGGGTGGCTCCCCTCACTGCTTTGGGTGTGCAAACATTTCATTTGAAGGTATAACTACCGTGGGATTAGCCTAATCACAGGGCAGGCTTTCTTGTTCAAAATCTGAGTGGGGGGAGGAAGCAGAAACAAAAACCTTAATTCGGGCCCGTGAAGCCCGGGTTTAAAGAGCTCTCCACCTGCCTCTCGAGTTTGAAGGCCCCTGATCCGCTCCCAAAGGGGAACACCCACACAAAGTGAGGCCTCACGGCAGGCACCTGGCCCCTTGGCAGTCCTGCCGGCGCAGGAAATGCCAAACAGGCTGCCCAGGGCGCTCCCCTCCCCCGGGGAAGCCCGGAGAGGGGGGCCCAAGGCAGCCTTCCCAGTGGGGTAAGCTCTGTGCCGCCTGGGTCCCAGCGGCCCCGTCAGACCCTCCAGAGTCTGACACCAGCCCCCCACACTGCTCTCCGGCAGGAGCCTTGGTGTCCAGGCCCCGCATGGGACGCGGCAGCCCCAGGCTCTGGTCCTGTGTGTAGGTGATGCCATCCCGTGGCAGTGCCTGCCTCAGCCTCTGAATCCCGGCCACTGTGGGCACAGGGACACACGGCGGGAGGGCAGGAAGCAGGCCCAGGCAGAATACAAGATGACCCGGAGGAAGGTGGCAGAGAAGCAAGACCCGAGGAAATCCATGGCAGTTTCCCGGCGTGAATCGCTGTGGTTCTGTGAGATAAAATTTATACCCTTCCCTTCCGAGCTCGGGATGTGGGAAGGAGAGCAGCTCCTGGACCAGTAATGAAGGTCAAGCAAAAGCCTCTCTCTGTGACCAACTCCAACAGGCAACACTAAATCAGACGCGTTACAAAAACACTCGCCCGCTTCCCAGGGCTCCACACTAAGGATAGAGGCTCCGGTTGCCGGCGCAGACGCAGGAGAGGGCCAGCAGGGACTGAGCAGCCTGGCTGTCCCCTGCACAGTGGGAACTCTGGCTGCACGGTCAGCCTCGAGTCCCTCTGAGGGCTCCTTGGCATCAGAGAGGGCAGAGACGGCTGAGACTCCAGAATGGTCCCGGGTCCCCGTACTGAGCACCACGCCAGCGAGCAGAGGGGTCTGGATTCTGTTAGGAAACCAGGAGGCAGCACAGAAGGCTGGGGGCTCCGTGGGGGAAGCGGGCCTCCAGGTGCAGAGCGCGGGGGCTGAGGTGGGGCCCACGGGGGCCCCCTCCTTAAAGAGACTGAGGGACAATCTGGGACAAGGCACATGCCATGCACGCAGCCGGGCCAGCACCGAGTACCACTGGGAACAGGCATCAGCACCAGCCTTCCCACATCCCCAAAACCGTGGGGAGGAAGGTCGCCTTCTGCCCATCCACGTTCTTCCCTCCTGGAGGGCCGGGCCACGAGAGAGGGCGGCCGCCACTCAGTCTCTCTGTGCGCGCCTTGCGGGCACCCCCGTCCCGTCTCTGGGCAGGGAGGGAGGGCGGCTGCCTCACGTGGCCAGGCATCCCCTGCCGGGCGGACCCCCACCCTCTGACCACACTCCCCCAACTCCGGCTCCTGTCCTGGATTCCCACGGGAGGACGAGGAGACAAGAAAGAAGAAAAAGGCAAAGGAACCGCGACAAAGAGCTGGTGCTGGGCCTGGCGGGCAGACGGCTGTCCTGCTCTGCCCGCCCCACACTCAGGCCTGCTCTGGGGGCGCAGCACCCCCCACGGCCTCAAGGGGTCCAGTTCACTGTCTCGGGAGCTCAGGCTGCACTTGCTGGTGATTGCCACCCGTGACCGTCACCCCCGAGGGCTCCAAATCGGATGCCAGGTAGAAAGAGCATGGCAAGGTGGTCATCCCCCTCCGTCTGGCCCTAGCTTCCCTGGGCCTGGACGCAAGCAAAGGGAACACAGGCCCTCCTCACGGGGCTGGCGGGTGACCTTGGGGGTCTGGAGAGCACCGTTCTGTGGGTGAGAATGTCCTCACTGAGCCCCAAACTCCAGACCCTGCTGGACAGCGAGGAGGGAAGGAGCGGGGGACCCCGTGGGTGCCACAGAACTCAGGAGGGGTCCACGGCCCCACACAGGCCCCGGGAAGCCGTGCAGACAGAGGCCAGGCACGCGGGGAACCCTGGCCACCGCCTGGGCCTCCCGGACAGGGCCACGTCGAAAGGTCCCTGCGGGCTCCAAGAGGCAGGCCAGGGCCAGGGGGCAGCCCTCGGGCCCATATTAATTTCAGCTCCATTTTAAAGGCGAGTTAAAATAAACACGGGGAATATTTATAAGGCAAATAAATCTGGCAGAAACAGCCCCTCCAAGTGTGAGCAGAGGCCTCCCCTCAGCCCCGGCCCAAGCTGATAAAATACAGAAATGCTACTGTAGGCCCTGCGGGCTTATTTTGACTGCGCAGAGGAATGTAACATGTAAACACTGCCTCCCGTATCACACTGTTACAACTTGCATTAACAGCACCGGACAAAAGCCGCATTTTCACAGAAGCATCGTACAGGGATATATCTCCAGCTTAATTTTTTAAAAAACCATTTCCTCACATAAATCATGCTCAGAACGAAACGGGTGACTGGTACATTGCAAACAGTTTTTTTTTTTCTCTTAAACAATAACATACCTAGATTCCTTCTAAATGCAAAAGCTTTTTTTTTTTTTTTTTGGTAAATCTTCTAAATGTTTTTTTTCTGAAGAAAATAAACACTGCAGTTTCGTTAGTGACCAAAAATATCCACGGCCATGTCTTCCCAGCAGCATGGGCCACTGCCCGCCCAATACAGGCTCAGAGGAGCCGTCACCCGGGCACTTGGGCACCCCGAGTGCCAGGGCCGTCCTTCCCACACCCCCCCACGCCGGCTCTCCCAACACCTGGTGTGGAGCAGCAGGTACGGAGAGAGGCAGCGAGTCCCATCCACCTTCCCCGGAGCTCAGGCCAGAGGGGATGGGGAAGGAGCAAAGAAAAGAAAAAGCCTCACCAAGCCACACAGGAGCAGCAGGGCAGAAGCCAGGGCACGGGAAAGGTGGAGCGTGGGCGGCTGCCTGGGTGCGTCGCCGTGCAGGGCCCCCTGCTCCACCTGAGAAACCCAATGGGACAAGGCGGGCGGGCTCTGAGGGCCTCCGGGTGCTAGATGAGCAGCCGTGGAGGCTGAGGACGCTGCCAGCATGGTGAGCAGGACGGGGCAGGGGCTCCCCTAGGGGACCCTGCTTGCAGTCTGCCGTGGGCTCCTCGGAGACCCCAGCAGCCTCGTCACCCTGGACAGACAGACAGACAGACACACAGACAAGTGCACAGGGATACACAGCAAGGCCATCTGGGGAACACGAAGAGAAGCGCTGAGACTTTTCTTCCCAAACAGTCCCAGGGTGGAGTGGGCCCCTCAGCACGAGCAATAAATCTAAAAGCCATTAAATGTAAAAAGAGATCTAAGTTACATATGAAAAAGAAAGAGGCCCGTACATTTGTATATCGCAGAGTTCAAAAACCAATGACAAGCTGAGTAAATCTACAATATAAATGACACAGGATCACAGCCCTCACGCAAAGCAGCTGGAAGATAAGAAAAGATAAGAGGAGGAAAAACCAGACTGGCAGCACACCTGCACGTGCACACAGCAACCACACACTCACACACGCACGCGTGTGCACGCCCTCTTCTCCAAATGGCAAAACGGGGCGTGCAAAGGTGGAGAACTAGGGGGCTGGAGCAATAGCACAGCGGGTAGGGCGTTGCCTTGCACGCGGCCGACCCGGGTTCGACTCCCAGCATCCCATATGGTCTCCTGAGCACTGCCAGGGGTAATTCCTGAGTGCAGAACCAGGAGTAACCCTGTGCATCGCCGGGTGTGACCCAAAAAGAAAATGAAAAAAAAAGGTGGAAAACTAGAGCAAATAAAGTGGAACCGGGTCACGTCTAACCTGCTAGAAAGCCAAAGATAAAAGAACAAATGAGGGGCTGGAGGGATAGTGCAGTGGGTAGCGTGCTTGCCTTGTCCGCTGCCAACTCCAGTTTGATCCCTGGCACCCCACGTGCTTCCCTGACCCCCATCAGAGCACAGAGCCACACGTGCGGCCCTGAGCAGCACCCAGTGTGGCCCCCAAACCAAGCCACATCAAAACAAAAAGAGCAAGCTACCCAGATTTGATCAAGGGCAAAGTGACCAAGGCAGCCGCTTAGAAACAAGACTTCGGCACGGAAAACCATCGCCCCCTGGAGGCTGCAGGAAAGACACGATGGCACCCAGTGCCTGCCTCCACACACAATCTGCAGTGACCCGTCCCAATGCCTGCAATGCCTGGTGACCCACGTGTACCAGTGCAATCTTCACAACTCTGCTGCCTGCAGTCCCCAGTGCCCCCGACAGGTTAGGGTGAGAGCCGCAAAAAGCTGTGTGAGCCCCAGCCGAGCGCCAGCACTCGGGGGCGACTAAGTGTGCACGAGCGCCATGAACCTGGCGAGTACACAGCCAGACGGGCGCACGGACCCATCACCGCAGGGTCAGCAGTAACCAAGGGGCCAGCGGGTGGGGGCACAAAATACAGCTAAGAGGAACTGTCGCCAGAGACAGACCAGCACCAGCGGGAGCGGAGGGAGGCAGCAGGCAGAGCTGCTGGGAGGGACGGGGCAGGCGACTCCTTCCCCTCCCCAGCCCCGCAGGAGGGCATGTGAGCGAGGAGCAGCCTGCAGGAGGGCGCGAGGACCAGCAGCAGGAAGGTGTGAAGGGCACCAGCCCCTGCCTCTCTGCGCCAGCCAGGCAACGCCCCTGCTGGGAAGGTTGGCCAAGGGAAGTGGGAGGTGAGCGGGTGTGAAATGCTCAGTGGGTTCAGGATGATGAAAATAACAGGAGTCACCAGCTCAGAAACAGCAGGCACTGGTGGGGGTGGGGGGAGCCCAACCCCAACCAGGAGACTCCCAGGGGGACACACCCATGTCCCCACACTCCCTGCACAAAGGCCAGTCCCTGACACGAGGCCGATGAGCAGGCCTCTGTTGCCCTCTGGTGGCCTTCCCGGTCCCTGTGTGCATGAAGCAGCCGGACACGGCACGTGCAGAAGACTGGGCCTGGAGCCCTCACAGCCCGTCCTGCGGGCACAGGGGACACACCTAACATGCTGTTCGGAAGTGCACACCCCACCCTGGACATCTCCCACAACTGTGGTTTCTGAGGCCACTGAGCCCTGGAGACCCGGGGCGATAAGGGGGCAGGAGGGCAGGGCAGGAGGGCAGGGCAGGGGTCTTCCTTGATATCTGGAGCCGTCTGCAGCTCTCTGATGTCTCTGACAAGCGACTCTGAGATGCAGGGGTTCCTGGTAACACTGAGAAAACCACCGTCCAAGACACCAAAGGGCCAAGCCACTTGGTTTTTGGTCTTACTTTGGGGCCACGCCTGGCAGGCTCAGGGGACCACAGGCGGTGAAACAGAGGATGGAACCTGGGTCGACCACATTCAAGGCAAGTGCCTTAAGCTCTGTCCTCCGGCTCCAGCTCCGGGCATGTGTCAGCACATCCCAATGGGCTCAGCGTACCATGTGTCCGCAGCCCTGCCGACCTGGTGTGTGTTCGCACCCCGCAGTGTGCCCCTGGCTCATCTTCCTCCCTCACCTCTGGGGGTGGGGCAACCAATATGGGGCTCAACACAGCACTGAGGCTTCTATTATTGGGGAACAGAGAGAGGCGCCTCCCCCACACCCCCAGCCCCGACTTACGTCTTCCCTGGAGATTCCTTCAGCCAGAAGATGTCATCGCTGGTGATTCCATATTCCAGAGCGCCTTCGATCTGTCCAGGGGGCAACACAAGTGAAGCATCACTGGGCCGGGTCCTTCCTCCATACGGACACACATGTTTTACAGACAGGTGGCCGAACAGTCCCAGCCTGTATATGGTGCACTTCTGCTCCTTGGACGTCTTCTCTCAACTGTGGCCTCTGGGGACAGGTGACTGTGCCCAGCACTTGGGAGCCACGCAGGGTGGCGGAGGAGCGCAGGTGAGACCAGTGTTCCCCCTCCCTGCTTCCAGGACACAGATCCAGGGCTCAGGGAGGGAGTAGGAGGGGGGGTCATGGAGGGGGCAAGGCTAAAGGCTGGGTGGGGCCAGGCAGCCTTGAGGGACAACACCAGTGGCCACTACGCTGAACAGATCAACCATTCATGGGCAGAGGCTGAAGAGCAGCCCCTGGTGGACAAACATGTGGAACAAGCGCCCCCCGGTGGCCTGCGAGAGTAAGACGTACTGAGGAAGAGGACCTGGACTTTGGAGTTCATGATTCCTATTGGCAAAACAAAACAACCAACCCCTTTTGAGATTGCACAAAGGAAATGCAAAAGTCTGAAAAATCAAAGGATTTACAAACCACTAACAGGTCTTGGCAGCTGCCCAGAGGGTGGGCAGGGCAACAGGGCAGTAGAGCAAACAGAACCAGGTCCCACCCAGGCCCCCAGGCTCCCAGACCCCCAGCACCCACAGCTGGCTTCTGGCTTCATCTGCCTCTGGGTGGGCAGACACACTGGCAGCTAGCTGCAGAGTCCCCAAGCACGGGCACAGACGCAGCACTGCCCAGGGCACGGAGGAGCCAAGTGCCCGGGGCAGGAACACCCACCAGTCACCCACTCTGCCCCCTCTGCGGTACTGCCCTGACCGCCTTCCCTCGGCCTGCTCGAGGCCCTCTGCCTGAGCTCTACGATGCACTCTTGCCGGCTGGCCCCCCAAGGAGGTGCCCGCTTCCTGCTGCCCATTTCCAGAGGAAATGCAGAAGTGGAGTGGAAGTTCCTGACCGGAAGAAACACTGAGGAGAGAGAGGAAAGCGCGCTCCTGTTCCGACACCCAGAGCTCCTTCCAGTCTTGGTAAGAAGCAGCCTCCCGGGACTGCGGGCAGTGCTGGAGGGTGGGAGCGCAGCTGTGCCAGCAAGGGGCTTGGGCTCCAGCTCAGCCGCACACGGCTGGCCAACGGCTGCCGGGAGTGACCCCTGAGTATCGGGTCGGGAGCAGTGCCGGTGTGGCCCCCCAACAGAGCAGCCTCGTGCCGTGATCTGTGGGCCTCGGGTGCCTCAGTGTGGCCTGCATGGGGCGAAGGGGTCGTGGTAGCAGGTCCCACATGCAGCCCCGGGGAGGCCAGTGAGAAAGCGGCCTCGGCCAAACCTCTCTGCTCCCCCTTCCTACCAGACACCCACTAGTGTCCTCATCCTAAAGCCCCTTCCTCAGGGGAGAACGGGCACAGAAACCCCAGGCTGCATTCAACGGAGCCACAGGTGAGAGCAAAAATCATTCCACGAAGTTAGCACGCACCCCCAGTCCCCACCAAAAAAAAAAAAGAAAAGAAACAGCCCAAAGGGTCAGATTCAACCTTTCCCGAACCCTGAGAATTAGCTGAAGGCTTGCAGCCACACGGGGAAACATTTAGTCAAGAAAAATGGAAGAGACTTGGTCAGCCCAGCGAGGCTGTGGCTTTTCCACTAGGTCTCGTCCCATCCCCCAGCACCGCCGCAGTCTTGAAAAATGAGTGTTCCGGAGAGAGCAGACCAGAGCCGGCGCCCTTTCAAAGCCTCCTTCCTCGGGAACAGTCATCGTGTGACCTGCCTGCTGGTTTCCTGGAAGACCCCACTCAATAGGCTTGTCTTCGCTGACCTCGCTCCAACCCGCCTGTGCTGACAGCCTCTCCCCGGGGAGCGTGGGCCCAGCGACTTAGCAGCACGGAGTGATGGATAACAGTGGAAGCCAACAACAGACGCACCAAACGCTTAAAAGGAAAAACTGAGAAATGAGATGTCCACGGGGGCTGTGAAAAGCTCTGCCGTGTTCTGGGGCCCGGCGCAAGCCCAGCCCAGGCAGGAAACCGTGCCCCCCGGGAGACAGGCCTCGGAAGGTCTGCGCGCTTATGGCGTGGCTTTGAGGCCCCGCACACGCAGGAAGTGAGGGCTAAGGCAGAGTTCTGCCTGTCTGGCTGAGACTTGAAGGTGTGCACCCGAGTGCCCACTGAGGGTCCCCTGCAAAGACCCCTTGATTCCTGGGCTTAAAAAAAATTCCAGCCAGTCAGGGAGCTTAAAAATTTTAAAAATTCCAGCCAGTCTTCAGCAGATGACGAAGGTCCTGTACTGTGGCTAAGCCTGAAGATGCAACTGGCCCTGCACAACAAAGAACAGCTTTCACAGAGGCAGTTCAGAAAAATCCCCAACAAGGGCGCTTGCTTTGCACATGGCCAATCTGGGTTCCATCCCCAGTATCCCTTTTGGTCCCCCAGCCAGCGCCGAGAGTGAACTTCTTAAGTTCAGAGTCAGGAGTAAGCGCTGAGCATCACTAGGTGTGGCCCAGAAACAAAACCGAAACAAAAAGTTCCTCAAAGACAGCAACACACAAGGTCTCACTGTGACCGAAGACCCTCATTTCCAGAGTGAACATATTCTACTACTTGCAATGTGCAGTTTCCAACAAAAATGACAAGAAAGCTGAGAGCATGAGAGACCAACATTCATACACCGCTGGCGGGAATGAGAGATGGTGTGGCCACTTTGGAAACCACCCTGGCAGCTCCGAAAAAGGTGAGACATGGTGACCCTATATCACCCTTCACTCCTTGGTACTGAGCCAAGAGAAGTTTAAGCTGAGGTCGTTGTCACACCTATGCAGATGGCAGTGTCCATAATAGCCAGAAGTGCCATCAGCCCCCAACATCCATCAACAATCTATGGACAAAATGTGTTCCACCCACACAAAAAGAAACACTATTTAGTCATATAAAGGAATGAAGCTACGATAGTTGCCATGACACAAACCAACCCCCAAACCAACGCAGTAGGAGAAGCTAGTTCCAAAGTCGCATGGGGAACATCCACAAAGACTGCACGAGTGGCTGCCGGGACGGGGAGAGCAGCGAATGGACAGTTCCTACTAATGAGTGCCAGGTTTTGGGGGTGGTCAGGGATGTGGGTGAGCAGCGGAGTACATGCCTACATGAGGCCTTGGTGTGGATCTCCAGTACCACCAAAAAGGAGGGCAGGGGAGGGAGGCCTGGCACAGCAAGCAGGGTGTGCCAACCACCTAGGCAAGCGCCAACCTGGGTTCAATCCCTGATATCCCATATGGTCCCCCACCGGGAGTAATTTCTGAGCACTGCTGAGTATGGCCCAAACACAAAAACCAAAAACCAAAAAAAAGGGAGGGGGGAGTTGGAGTGGAAAAAATGTTCTGGAATTATGTAATGGTGCTTATAAGCATATTACTTTGTAAAACTGAATGGGACCCGGGGGCTGGAGAGATAGTACAGCAAGTAGGGTGTTTGCCTTGCACACAGCCAACCCAGGTTCGATCCCCGGCATCCCATATGGTCCTCCAAGCATCACCAGAGTAATTCCTGAGTGTAGAACCAGGAGTAACTCCTGAGCATCACTGGATGTGACCCTCCCCCCTAAGATAAAACAAAACAAAACAAAAAAACGGAATCGGACCCTTTAAGAGGGTGCAATTCCAGGGGTCTAAAAGACAGTACAGTGTGTAGGGTGTTTGTCTTTCAGGTGACCAACCCCAATTTGATCCCCAGCACTACCAGGAGTGATCCCTGAGCACATAGCCAGGAGTAAGTCCTGAGCAGCACCAGGTGTGGTCCCCTCCCACTGGCGCCTCCATGATAAAGGGAACATTTCATGACCCAGAAGGCTTGAGGACAGTGAGCTGCAGGAGACCAAGAAGGACCACCTCCCCCACCCCCTGCCCCGGCTCCAAGCCGAAACACTCACCTGCTCAGGGTACCTGGGCCGCCCTCCAGTGGCAATGACAATGTGCTGGGCTGAGAGCAGCATCTGGGAGAGGTGAGGAGGTGCGGTCAGAGAGGGTCGCAGCCTACCCAAGGCCATGCCTCCACTTCACTGGCCTCAGGTGCAGCTGTCCAGCTGGCGGCTCAGAGGTCCCTGGGAACAGGGAGTCTGGCCAGGGACCCCCAACAAGAGAGTAGGAGACATCCTTCCTCCAAGCACTTGATTCTGTCTACAAAACTCCCTGCAGGGGTTGGTCCTCCTGGAGTCTCCACAAAGCACTCAAGGGCCAGGCAACAGGGGCTGGAGCGATAGCACAGCAGGAAGGGCGTTTGCCTTGCACACGGGTGACCTGGGTTCGATTCCCAGCATTCCATATGGTCCCCTGAGCACTGCCAAGAGTAATTCCTGCATGCGTGAGCCAGAAGTAACCCTTGTGCAAAGCCGGGTGTGACCCAAAAAGCAAAAAAAATAAAAAAAGGGCCAGGCACCAGCCTGCTGGGACCATGGCACCTGCAAGCAGGCGTGGGTGCCATGTCTCATCACTCATGAGAACGGCCACCAAGCTAGACTTAGGAGCGCAGGGCTGCAAGGGCCAGGACGGCCCAGCGAGGCACTCACCTCTTTCCCACCTTTCGCAGCCCCGCAGACTGTGTGCTTATCGACGAATCTGGCTTTAAGGTTAAAGTACTTGACTTTTCTGCAAGATACAAATGGGATGTTCAGGGCCAGGTAGGAAGCCTGGATTCCATCCCCGTGTGACATGGACCTCCCCAAAGCACCACTGGGAGCAACTCCCTCCGCAACCCCTCCCATAACACACACACACACACACATAGCCTGGTGGAGCCATTGGGCACTGCCCGGTGTGGCCCACCCTGAACCAAAACTAAAACTAGGATTTCCACACATTTCTTCTGCAAATTGAGTAGAGAGTTGGGGGGGTGTCTCGGGGGTGTGGAGCTCATACAGACAGATAAGGTGAGGTATGGGGTTCATGGCATGAGAACCTGGAGTTTGCTGGGCAGCAGCCTCAAGGGGCTCCATGGAGTCCTTCACGTAACCGGGGTGGGCCCTAGCAGGCCACCCCAAGAAGGAGCTGGTTCTGGGAGGTCCCCGCCATGCTCAGAGCTCCAAGTCCGGAGTCTCCAGGGAGCTGCCAACGTGCCCCTCACTACTCGCTGTGTGAGGGGCCAGCCCGCCGGGGTCCCCTGCTCCCAGGGCTCTTTGCCCCTCTGCTGCCCCACGCAGCCCCCCGCCCCACTCTCTGGGCCTCTCGTCTAACTGCTGCTGCGAGCCCCCAGTGAGGGACTGTTTGCTGAGGGGAGAAATAGCCCAGAGGCGGCCCCGGAGGATTGAGTACCTGTCCTGCAGCTGGACCCGGTGTCCCCAGTTCAGGGACCTCACGTGGTTCTGAACAGCTTCCGCCATTTTCCCCCTGGTGGTTCACAAAACGAAACATGAAGCAATGAAAACAGCAGAAAAGCTGCCTGTCGGGGCCACACAGTCGATCAGGGGCTGAGCATCTAAAGGCAGCAGACAGGACCCCTGTCCCCAGGGCACCACCTCAGTCTCTGAGGCCGAGCCCTTTGGACTCGAGAGAAATAGGGTCGGGGCCACAGCAAGAGGCCTGGCCTTGCCGCAGGCCCCAGGGCTGGAGTTCTACAGTCTGAGAAGCCCCCGACACAACCCCAAGGGCTTCTGTGGGGGGCTGCCTGTGTAGTGCAGGTACCCAACAGCACCCCTGGGCACTACAGAGTAGATGGAGCAGCACTGCCCACCCAGCCTCCACTGGTGACCCCCCCAAACGAGTCCAGATATCACCAAAGGGGCTGCAGGTCATGCAGAAGCCACCCGCGGGCAGGTGTAGCACCCGGGCGCATTCCTCACCAGTCATGCCGGGCTGGCGGGGCCACCTCCCAGCCATAGTGGGGGGCGTCCTGCAACATGCCACCCAGCAGTGCCGCCTGGTGCATCAGCTTCTTGGGGATGCAGCCGACATTCACACAAGTGCCGCCGAGCCCCCAGCGGGTACCTGGCCCAGTGGGAAGAGCACATTTTAGAGTGAGAAAGCAAAGTGAGATGAAATAAAATGAAATAAGGGGGCAAGAGAGACAGTGGGCAGAGTGAGCCGGCGATGGCTGACCCAGACTCAATCCCCGGCATCCCGCCTGGTCCCTCGAGCCCACCAGAAGGGATCCCTGAGCACAGAACCAGGAGTCAGTCCTGAGCATCCCCGGGGGTGGCCCCCAAACCAAAATGAATGAACTGATTGGTTAACTAAGTGAGAGCCAGGGACACCCAGGGGCCGCCCATGCCGCAGATCTCGGGGTTCCTTCGAGGCTGTCATGGAGCATCACTCAGACGCAGCCCAGATGAACCCCACCGTGCTCAGAATTGTGTCTGGGGCCACTTGAAAATGAGTGACTCATGCCGTGAGGAGCAGTCGGTTCTCAACTGCATGGGCAGGTTTGTGGCAACTTGAACTTAAGGTGGCGTGACGGGTAAGGAGAAGGGCTCAGTGACCCTCATTCCCTTTCCACGGTCTTTGTCCAGCAGTGTTTTAAGTGACCTGCTGTACGGGCAGTTCATTCGGGTGCAGGGTAGCCTTCGGGAACGCAGGACAGACATGGGGAAGCTTCTGGACTCAGCCGCCCTCCTCCTACCCAGGAATAGGGCCCCCGCCTTTCCCTTGGCCAGGACATGTGCGGGGGGCAGGCGCCTACCTCGGGGAGAAGGGTCCACATAGTCCAGCACCGCCACCTTCTTGCCCAGCTGAGCAGCTGCCGAGAGAAGACAAAGGAGCAGGTGGGTGTCTGCCACGCCGGTCACGGCGTCGCCCACGTAGCAACATGCTGCAAGGGGGCTCAGGCAAGGGCCTGGGTCCCTGGGAATGGGAGGTTCGTGACCTACGGGTCTATGCCTCCGGCAGCCCCCTTTCACTGTTTTCTAGGCGCCTCTGACACGCAGTCTTCACTTGCCATTCTGTGGGAATAGGAGCCTGCTTGTTAAATATCTTGATTTAACTTTTGGCCTTGGAAAGATGCTTGCTAGTAGAGTTAATATTAGTTTTTGCAAAATTCTGATTTTTACATGCCTGCTAGTAAAGTAGAGTTTAATATTAGTTCTTATAAAGTCCTGATATTTTTTTAGTTTATGGGTAGGCGTTTTTAGGGAAATAAAAACTTAATGTCAGTAAAAGTAAGTTCCTTATGAAGGAATTATAAGGAACATAATATTTCACTCAGATATTTTATTGGAACAAGTGGATCTTCTGCCCTAATCTTAAAACAGAACGTGTACGTGCCCCCTGTTGTCTTGGGAACATGACCCATGGTCTGATGTAATGTGTGCTTTGCCACGTTGTTTCTGTAACTGTATAAAAAGAACTCTGGATGCAATAAACCGCAGCAGCACTCAACCTCTCTTGTGTTGGTGTCTGTCTGTCCAACGCGCCGAATCTCCTGCTTTCCTGTGCACCTTCACCTGGTCTCCCCTCAGCCTGGTGGTCTTCGACCGAGCCAGTCTGCGGCAGGTGTCAGCGTGGGCTGAGGCCCATGGGAGCCCAGGAAGCTCCAGAAGAGGGTGGGAAGGGCCCCGGTGAGTGCCTGCCACAGCTATGCCTACAGACACCCCCACTGCCGGCTGGCACCTGCGGTGAGCTGTGAGCACAGCTGGGAGCTCTCCAGTACCCACCCTGGGTAGCAGCACGAACCAGGCCCCCACCCCCACCCCTCCCCACCCCCACCCAGACCTCCCAACTCCAGGACAGACATTCAGCAAGAACTCGGCTCCCATGCAGAGCGCGCACAAGCCACTCACATGTGCCCACACCACGGGGAGGCTGGGGACCTGGAGCCACCCAGCCCCCAGCTCGCCTCCTGTCTGCTGCCCCCTGGACCACACCTGAGTGACCTGACCCTCATCAGAGTCCCCAGCTGGGCAGCTGCTGCCCTCTCAGGAGGAAGTTACTCAAGCTCGGACAGAAACGGCAGGTTGAGGAGCAGTGAGCGCCCGAAGGAGGCAGGCCCAGCGCCCACCTGGAGTCCCCCGCTTCCCTCTGGTCACCAGCAGAGCCCCCTGGGGCCACAAGTCCCAGCTTCTGAGCCAGGCGAGCGTGCTACCCATGATCAGCCTGACAAACAATGAACACAGTCAACAATGAGAGTGAAAAAACAAGCGCCACTGGGAGTAGCCAGAAATGACAAAAGATGAGAATAGCATGCTGGGGTGTATTCATGGCTTTCTAAAGACGGAATCAGAACCAAAGTTTTAACTGGAATTATTTAAAATACTTTAATAAAAGAAAATTTGTGAGAATTGTTAAAAAAAAAAAAGGACAAAAGTTTTAAAAGCCCTCGCTTCAAACCCATTGTGCTCAACTGAGATTCCAGTGCAGGATGGAAATGCATCCACTAAAGGGGGGGAGTCTTCACACAGTGAGGGTCTAACCCCCCTACCTGGAGCATAAAGGTACAACAGGGATGATCTGTACCTCCACTAAAAGCAGCCAAGATCCAGGCACAATACGTGAAATAACAGTTGCAAAAAATTGAAGATGAAGGGGGCTGGAGCAATAGCACAGCGGGTAGGGCGTTAGCCTTGCACGTGGCTGACCCAGGTTCGATTCCCAGCATCCCATATGGTCCCCTGAGCACCACCAGGAGTGATTCCTGAGTGCAAAGCCAGGAGTAACCTCTGAGCATCACCGGGTGTGACCCAAAAAGCAAAAAAAAAAAAAAAAAAGGAAATTGAAAATGAAGGCCCGAGCATGCACTGTGACAGCGAAGAAGAAATGAGGCGGGTCCCACCACTGGAAAGTCACTGGGATGCCACCAAGGAAGGCAGCCACAGCAGAGTCAGGGTGGGGGGGCGTTAGGAGATGAGGCCCCTTGAGTTCATGGCACAGAGGAGCAGGGAGGTGGCAGGTGTGCGAGAGCAGGAGAAATCTCCAGGGACTCAGAGGGGACGGTGCTCGCACACTCAGGCAGAGCGCCTCCTCCTGGAAGCCAGCTGGGAGAAAACTCAGCCTGTCGGGGGTTTTGTAAAAGCACCAAGATACTCCACGTCCTGGCTTGAGAATAACAGGCCTTAGACCAGGCACAGCTCCAGACCTAACAGATCTTAAAATGAAAAAATAAAAAGGATTTAATTATCTCTTGGTAATGTATCTACAGCCCAGAACATGAAGAAAAAAGAACATTTCTAGAAATACAAAGTATCTACAAATCAACAAAGTTCAAAGTGTCTGGCACTGAAACAAAAACTACCAAGGATGAAATCAGAGTGTGGGCTGGACACAAAAAGCCCAAAAATTTAAAAAATGCTTTTTTTTTTTTTGCTTTTTGGGTCATACCCGGCGATGCACAGGGCTTACTCCTGGCTCTGCACTCAGGAGTTACTTCTGGCGGTGCTCAGGGGACCATATGGGATGCTGCCAATCAAACCCAGGTTGGTGCGTGCAAGACAAACACCCTACCCACTGTGCTATCTCCGACCAGAGGCTGGAAAGATAGTACAACCTATAGGGCATTTGCCTTGCACGCTGCCCACCTGAGTTCAATCCCTGGTGCCCCATATGGCCCCCGAAACCCTGCCAGGAATGAGTCCTGAGTGCAGAGAGAGAAGTAATCCTTGAGTACTGCTGGATATGACCCCAAAACAAAACAAAAATTTTTTGTTTTTGGCTTTTTGGGTCACACCTGGCAATGCTCAGGGGTTACTCCTGGCTCTGCACTCAGGAATTACTCCTGGCAGTGCTCGGGGAACCATATGGGATGCTGGGAATCGAACTCTGATCGGCCGCGAGCAAGGCAAATGCCCTACCTGCTGTACTTGCACTCCAGCCCCCACAAAACAAAATTTTAAATTAAAATGTTTTTATTTATAAAAAGTATATAAATAAAAATGTAAAAAAATTTAAGATGACAAGGCATGCAAAAAAGTCAGAAAATAAAAGTCATAAAGAGTAAAATAGTCCTGGGGATGGCTCTAAGGGCTGGATCACATGCTTTGCATGGGAGAAGCCTGGGTTTGAGGCTGGCACCACATGGACCACTGAACTCTTGCAAGCACAACCCTCACCCCCTACCAGTCAAACTGAGCCAGGTGTAGCCCCCAAACTAAACAAACAAAAAAAGAGAGCCAAGGGAGCACAACATGACGCTTGCCATATAGCCATGCCATCAGACTCCACGCCAGGCTGTTTCACTCGGGGCGCCCCGGGGGGGTGGGGGAAAGCCCTCCCTGCCCCAAGGGACCTAGCTCCGGCAGTGGAAAACCTCCAGAACCCAACCACCACCATGTTCAAGGCCGCTTCCCACACGCTCGGGCCGAGCCTTACGCACAAGTAAAGTCTGACAAAACCCAGGTATGCAGAACTCTATGACTGAGAACTCTGGGTTCAAGCGACTGGGAGCGGAGATCCTCTGCCCGTTTCCCCTTGTCTCCGGTGACCCAGCAGTCGCGCCCATAAACCACCTCTGGCTGGCGCCAGATAATTCCATCATCGACCACCATCCAGATCACATGTCCTTCTCTCCCAGAAGGGAGCATAACATGACACTCGCCATAGCCATGCCACCGGACCCTGCATTCGGCTGTTTCACTCAGGGCACCCCAGAGAGGGACGGGGGAGAACCCTCCCCGCCCCAAGGGACCCAGCCCTGGCAGCTGAAAACCTCCAGAACCCAACTGCTGCCGTGCTCAAGGCCACTCCCCACACGCTCGGGCCAAGCCTCATGCACAAATGAACATATTCCTGGACTGTGCAGCCTCATTTGTGGCCATATGACACATCAGACACACCCTACCCATATTACAAGAGTACTGCACCACATTTGATGGGGGTCAAATAGTAGGCAACCAATCATAGAAGGAAATATATATATATATATATATATTTTACAAATACATATATGAAAGTTCACAAGGCTCAACCTTTAACAACATGTTAGTGATATCTTACAGAAGGTCTTAATGGCCCCTGTCAAAATAGAACAATCTTCACACTCTTTCCTCTATGGATAACTTTTTGTAGCATTTTCAGCGGTTTTTCATAACAAACGATACAAAATATATTATTTCGGTTCTGCTTTGGGACAGGGATTGGGGTTTGGGATGGAAACATCCCAAATATGGTGACGGGAAGGTATAATGGTGGTGGAACTGGTGTTTGAATATTAAATGTAATCAAATATTGTGAACTACCTTACAAACAAAACGAACACTCTCCTCCCGTTGTTCATCGATTTGCTCGAGCAGGCCCAGTAACGTCTCCATTGTGAGACTTGTTGTTACTGTGTTTGGCATATTGAATTTGTCACCGGTAGCTTGCCAGGCTCTGCTGTGCGGGCGAGATACTCTCGGTAGCTTGCCGGGTTCTCCAAGAGGAGTGGAGGAATCAAACCTGGCTCGGCCAGGCTGGCTGCTCACAAGGCAAATGCCCTACCCGCTATGCTATCGCTCCGCCCTTTATCATCCAATGTCATCCCTTTTTCATCCAATATCACCTACTGGATGAAAAAAAACACTATATCACAAAAAAGAAAAAAAGAGAGAGCAATTAAGCAAATACTACTCAACAGAAATTAATCAAGAACTATCACAGATGTCAGAATTGGCAAAAATAGAGCAGCAAAACTGACCTTTTAGTTGTATCTCATATATTCACAATGTCAAAATGCAACATGGAAGAAATAAGAAAGGGTTCGAGTTGAACTTGCAGAGACAAAAATAAAAGAAATGCAATCTCTTGATGGGAACGAATGGTATATCAGACATTAGGAATCTTGAGGACACTGAGACATTGAGGAATGTAGATCAGAACTGAGGAATTAGTAACTCTGAAAACACAGGCACAGAAACTGCCCTAAAGGGACCTGAGCGACATTACGGTAGGTAGAGCACTTGCCTTGCACAAGGTCAACCCAATCGCCTGCACCATACATGGTCCCCTGAGCTTGCCAGCTCACCAGGAAAGATCCCTGAGCACAGAACCGTGAGCACCAATGGTTGTGACCCCCACCCACCACCCACCCAAAGAGAAAATAAATTATTCTAAAATGAATTCCAATAAGATGTAACCTCCAGCAGAGTAAGTGACATGTAATTAAAGTCGCCAAAAGTAGAGAGAGAGAGAGAGAGAGAATCTGAAGAATTATAACTGAAAAGCCTCAGAAATTGCTAAAATTTACAAATCCACAGACCCAAAAAGCTCAATGAACTACAACAGAAAAAAGGGTTTTTTTTGGGGGGGGGGCTTTTTGGAGTCACAGCCAGTGATGCTCAGGGGTTACTCCTGGCTCTGCACACAGAAATTACTCCTGAGTAATTCCTCTGGTGGTATGCTGGGGGTATATGGGATGCCAGGGATCAAATCCTGGTTGGCCACATGCAAAGCAAACGCTCTACTGCTGTGCTATCACTCTGGCCCAGAACAACACTTTAGAACTACAACACACACACCATGTTATTCAAAGGCTTACATTTCGTCAAAAGAGGAAATCCAAAGAGCAACCAGAGTCCCACAACCAAAGACAAAGACAAGGAAGACCACAGACTTGCCACCTCAGGAGAGATGGGCAGGAGAGGAGGTGGAGGACAGAACAGTGGGTAGGGCACTTGCGTTCCATGAAGCTGACACTGAGCACCACCAGGACTGGTGCCTTAGCACAGAGCCAACAGTAATCCCTGAGCACCACTGGGTGTGGCCCAAAAACCAAAAATAATTTTTTTTAAATAAAAGCTTCTGCATAGACTTTTCTCTGTGGACATACAACTGACCAATACATGTACAAAAAGATACCTCATGTCACTGATTAGGAAAGTGCAAGTTACTGACACTGAACTACACTTCCCACCTACTTAAGAAGCACCAGAGGCAGTCAGACAAGCATAGACAAGCATTGTCTAGGTGTGGAGAAACTCAAGCCCTCTGGTGCTACTGCTGGCGGGAACACGCGGAAACCAGTCTGGAGTTTCTCCAGAAGTGAAGCCCTGAGTTCTCACAACCGAGCAATTTCGCTCCTAGCTATACGCCAGAGAAAATACACGTCCACACAAAAGCCTGCACACACGCCAGTGATCACAGCAGCAAGATCTGCAAAAGCCAAAAGTGGAGAGAATCCATGTGTCGATCAAGAACAAGTGGACAAAGTGTGGAATATTCACACAGCAGATACTATTCAGTCATAAAAAAGGATGAAATCCTGACAAATGAACGCTGAAAGCACTACGGTAAGGCGGGGGGACGCAGCTCAGTGGGAGAGCAGATGCTGTGCACATGTGAGGCCCTGGGTTTGATCCCTAGCACCATCAACAGCCAAAAAAGCAATGAACGAAGATCACTCATCTATATGAAATTTCCAGGATGGACAAATTCAAAGAGATAGAAAGTAGATCAGGGATACTGGGGGCTGAGGAGAGGAGGGAATAAGGAGATATGCATCCAGAGCATCGGAGTGGGGCTGATGGGAACACTCTGTAACTAACTGGGGTGGTGGTTGTACAAGTGAGACTATAGCAGAAACGAGTGGATAAATGATGCATTTTATTTGTTTTGGTTTTTGACCTACAACACCTATGCTCAGGGCTTTCTCCTGGCTATGAGCTCAGGGACCACTCCTGGTTGGGCTCGGGGAACCAAATGAGGTGCCAGAGATCGAACCCAGGTTGGCCACATGCAAGGCAAGAACCTTACCTGCTCACTATCACTCCAGACCATAAATGAATGATTTCTACAGACACTATTTATAGATCAATTATGCCGTTGTTTAAAAAACGTGAAACCATTAGGGATTATTCTGACAAAATATGTGAAAGACCTGAAAGAAAAGACTAAGACTAACTAGATATGATTGAAGTAAATAAAAGACTCGATTTAGAGATGTGGCTAGGCAGAAGAGCACTTGCCTTGCATACGTGGGGATCTGGGCTCAACCCCTGGCAACACAAAAAGAAAAAGGGAGGAAAAAACCCTAAAACTAAATAAATACACTACATAACCCAGAATTTCCACTTTTTGACATCTACCCAAGAGAATGTAAAATATATGCCCACATAAACACACACTGTTAATTATTCCAAGCAGCACAGTTCACAGTGGCCTTCTGGAAACCCCCAAATGTGCATCTGAGTAAATGAACAAGATGTGATGGACCCAGACAACGGAAGATTAACAAGCAGGGATGGATTCTGGGTGCACACGGCATCAGAGATGGAACTCAAGTCATCAGGTTATGAGAAAGAAGTCAGAAAGAATGCACACATCATGGTTCTGAGTTGACAGACTTCTAGAAGATGCAGTCACCATCGAGAGAAAAAATCACCAGTTAGTTGGGGCTGCTGGAGGGAAGAGGAGCAGGAAGGGATTCTCTAGGCTTGAGAAAACTTGGGGGCTTGCATCCTCCCCCAATTCCTTTGTTGTAGCCTTAATACCTAGTGATGTGACCTCGAGGAAGGTGGGGTCCTCACAGGCCCTAACCCAGCCAGTCTGATCGGCATCTTCACATGCAACTGGAGCAGATGCACCAGGAGGTCACAGGAGAGGCAGTCTCCTGCTAGCCAAGGAGAAACAGCCCAGCGCATGGACTTCAAGCCTCAGAACCATGACAAAACCCATTTCTGATGCTTGAGTGTGGGGAGCTTCTGAAAGTAGCCTGTGTACACGGACGGCCCATGACATCGTGTGTCACTGCAGAGGTGGCTTCCCCATACACTGTAGACTATGACAGACCGTAGGACACTTGATGTATACCCCTTGACGTATAGTTTATTGTAAGTCAATTACATCTCCATCAAACTAGGAAAATCAACGAGATCCAGGCTACGGAGATGGTACAAAGCATCAGTGCACACAATCACATCATGGGGGAGATGGTTCAGGTCCAACACCATGTACTTTCCTGAACACTGCCAGGACTGACAAGAGCTGCTGATATGGTGCCCCTTTACCCCTTTCCCCCACCAAACAAAAACGACATAGAACCTAAGATCACCCACAAGGAGAAATGCCACCAGGAGTGCTGCAGTGAGCAGAGTCCCTGGAAAGGTGACATCAGCAATAGACACAGCGCCCAGAGTGTTCTGCCAGAGGGAGTATCACTGGGACTCCTGGTTCTCGGGCAGCCCCCTTCCCGTGTGGTTCTGTGGTCCAGTAGAGTAAGAAGCTCTTATCACTTTGGGGGCCCCTCAGCTAGAAGACTCCCATGGTTCCTGCCTCCCACTTCAGGACCCCACCATCCCCGCACCTCCTGGGACAAAGTAGTGGACAGTCAACTTCCTTTACATCATCTATGGTTCTAGAACCCAGCTTTGGATATCAGTGAGCCAGAGAGCCTGGGGGCCTGCTCAGCCCTGCTTTGGCCCTGGTCTCCTCTCCTCGCCTCTCTTCCAGGGTACAGAGCCCTGGTGCACACGTGCCATCTGTTTTCCACCTGAGTGGCAGTAGAATGTGGTAAGAACACTAAGCATCACCGGATCCTGAATCCTGGTTCATTCGAAATAGCTTCACGGAGCAGCACCCCTAGGAGCCCACAAGAGGGAGCCACAGCTGCCCAACCAAATCGGGCTCTGCAGGACAGTGCTAGCATGAAGAGCAAGTGGGGACAGTGGTGGAAACGAGATAGATCATCAGACACACTGCAGGAACAGCGTAACTTATTTATTTAATCATTTTTGGAAGTAAAAAGTATATTTTATCTGGAGGCTTTTTGAGGAAAGGGAAGGAGTGAGAGAGAGAAAGGAAGAGAGAGAAAACGGGCTTCTCCAAAGGCAGAGAGTGCCCAAGTACACATCTCAAGAAGGGATCATCAGGAGACACTTGTGCCCGGGCACCACATGTGCTTGGTCAAACAGCGCGATTCTAAGCAGCCCCGCAGCAGCAGAATCGGAGTGAGAAGCAGGAGCCGTGCAGCAGCCATGCAGCCTGGGTGGGCAAGGCAGGGCTGGGCCCAGCAGACTGCAGGGCAGGTGACCAGGCTAGACAGACTCCAGAGACCTGTGCAGAACAGCAGGGAGGCTGGGACCAGAGTAGCACTGGGTCTGGGGCAGGGTCTAGACTGGAGCCCAGGAAGAGGGTGCCTGCCACTTGGGAGTACCCCCTGGGCTGCTAGGTGGTGCAGACACAGCGGAGGCATAGCAGACACTGCATTCAGCCGCTGGAGTGGCCCTAGGTGGGTGCTCAGGAATCATGCAACCCATACCGGGCCACTCAGGGGTCACTCAGCATTCAGTCACCAGAACAGCACAACTGTCTCTGTGCCCGCTTCCCAAAGATTACACATGCTGCCATGCCAGAGGGTCACAGATGTGGATACGTACCTTCCTTGGCACAGGCGAGGCCACCGGATCCCCCTCCAATCACCAGGAGATCAAAGTCCTGCTTCTCTGCTGAGGTAAGAGGTGAGAGGTGAGCTAAAGAGATAGAGAGATAGCACGGCAGGTAGGGCGCTTGCCCTGCATGTGGCTGACCCGGGTTCAATCCCCAGCACCCTGTAGAGTCCCCCCAGCACCACCAAGAGTAATCCCTGAGAGCAAAACCAGAAAGAAGTCCTGAGCACTGTCGGGAATGGCAAAATCAAAAACAAAACAGAACAAAAAAGAAGAAAACCACAAGGCAACATGAGGATTTTGAAGAGCAGTTGTCGTTATCATTCTGGCAGCTCAGCCATGAGCCCAGGAGCCGAGGACTGTCTGCCTGCCAGTGGGAGCAAAGCTTCCTCAACCCCAAGTTGAGCACACCACAGATGGGTCTCTCCACCGCGGGTGCCCCATGTAAGGGCTGGGGAAAGCGTGACCCAGGAGAACGTTCCTACCTTCCATCATAAGCTTGTCCTTCCGTCTGCCAGAGCAGCGGCCCCACTGGTCCCTGCGATGCAGCCTCACACTGTCCCCTGGGGCTTGCTACTGGGCCACAGCATGGTGAGGGGCTGGTTCTGGGGACTGTGGCCTTATCTTTGGCCGTTTGCTCTTTAATGCGCACACCCAGGAGTGCTTTTGACCTGATAAAACAGGAAGGCCAGCAGAGGAGCCTTCTGTCAGTGGAGGGGCGGTCTTCCCAGAGGTGCCCAGGGGCCCCAGGTCATAACCAGGACAAACAGTTACTCCAGAGCAAAGGATCTGGGCCTCAGTGCCACACGGGCAGTGTTCAGGGTCACCAGAACATGCCAGCTGACACTTGGGGGTCCTGCATTGCTGGAGACTGACCTGGGGCCCCGTGCATGCTTCACATGTACCTAACACCTGGACTATCTCCATGGCCCCAGATCTGTCTTTTTTTTTTAAAGTAATGGGGGCCGGTGGCAGCCAGCTGAGAGCTCTGAGCTCAGCCATGCTAAGCCCGAGAAGACGCTCCTCGATGTTCTGGACTGAGGGCCTCGCTGGACCCTGAGGAGATAAAACAGAAGATGCACAAGGATGTGATCTCCTCCATAGGGAATTTCCTCATCTATCTGGCCCTGCTGTGAATCCCTCCCTTTATCTTAAAGAAGCTGAACGGGGGCGGGGGGGTGGGGTGGGCTGGAACGATAGCACAGCGGGTAGGGCGTTTGCCTTGCACACGGCCGACCTGAGTTCGATTACCAGCATCCCATATGGTCCGCCGAGCACCGCCAAGAGTAATTCCTGAGTGCAGGAGCCAGGAGTAATCCCTGTGCACCGCCAGGTGTGATCCAAAAAAAAAAAAGTTGTACAGCATATGACATATGAAGGCAGGTCATCACATGTGATGCAGGATATGAAGAACCTGATTACAGTTTCTCCTGTCTGCAAATGAGTGGGCCCAGGAAGATGTAAGAGACTCTTTGATGAGTGAATGGACCTAAACATCCTGCTTGCTAAGAAACAAATTTGGCTCTGATGACTGGCCTTCATAGCTGAAACAGACAGTACAGTGGGTAGGGCGTTAGCCTTGCACGCAGCCAGCCTGGGTTCGATTCCCAGCATCCCCTGTGGTCCCCTGGGCACTGCCAGGAGTAACGACCTGAGTGCAAGACCAGGAGTAACCCCTGTGCATTGCCGGGTGTGACCCAAAAAGAAAAATAAAAACCATCTGGAACATATGAAAAGATATTTTGTGGTCCTAGAACGCCCTCATGCCTGTGATACTCAGCGTCCGTCAATGTTGGTGTAATGGTAAATAATGGCAAATTCCATTTTCTAGCAAGTATCAATTATAAGGGAATTATGTCTGCAGTGGCACTGTCTTGTCATTTCTGGTCGTCTTTTTTACTTCTATCTGTTGAAGAGTTTCTTACAGCTAGTTGTTTTATAGAAGCCAGCACACAACTACATGGCATTTAAGCACAGGATCATTAGTCTATATTTTTAATAAATGTATCAATTAAGAAAAATACTGGAAGCGTGCAGCATAAGAGAAGGAACACATGGAGGGTGCGGGAACCACAGATCCCGGAGGGGAAAAAAAAAAGAAAAAACAGTTTCCAAAAAGAGCCGAGATCACCGGCAAGTTCCAGATGGAGTAGGTGCCGCATCCCGCCTCCCCCAGATGGAACCCCGGTGACCAGAAGCCTCTACAAACACAGCTCGAGTATGCGGGAACGAGGACTTTTAAAGACATCTCTCTATATACAAAGTGATCAATGAGAAGTAAACCACCCAATCTTTCTCCCTGAAAATCAGAGTTAAGTTTGGAGCACGGCCACAGCCCCAGAAACACAAGGACTTAATGCAGAACCCAGCAGCTTAGAGCAGAAAAGTGAACGGACGATGCGTTTACCCAGGCCATCATTTCTGCCCAGAGGGGAAAGGGTGTTGCCCCATTCGCCCTCTCTTCTCTGGAAAGAAGGATGGCGGCCGCATGGGAGCCTTGTGGACAGCAGGTATGAGCCGGGGGTGTGGGGGGCGACTAAAACCTCACGAGAAGGGGGGCGTTCCGGTCCGTCCTTCACGCCCTACCGAGGTCAACAGTTGCCCCCCACGAGCGGCTCCCCAGCACGGCCATGGCCCCAGAAGCACAAGGACTTAATGCAGAACCCGGCAGCTTGGAGCAGAAGAGTGAAAGGACTATGCGTTAATCCAGGCCATCAAGTCTGCCGGAGGGGAAAGGGTGTTGCCCCATTCGCCCTCTCTTCTCTAGAAAGAAGGATGGTGGCCTCATGGGAGCCTTGTGGACAGCAGGTATGAGCCGGGGGTGTGGGGGCGACTAAAACCTCATGGGAAGGGGGGCGTTCCGGTCCGTCCTTCACGCCCTACCGAGGTCACCAGTTGCCCCCCACGAGCGGCTCTCCAGCACGGCCACAACCCCAGAAGCACAAGGGCTTAATGCAGAACCCAGCAGCTTGGAGCAGAAAAGTGAAAGGACTATGTGTTAATCCAGGCAATCATTTCTGCCCAGAGGGGAAAGGGTGTTGCTCCCTTCCGCCCTCCTCCCTCTGGAAAGAAAGATGGCGGCCACATGGGAGCCTTGTGGACAGCAGGTATGAGCCGGGGGTGTGGGGGCGACTAAAACCTCATGGGAAGGGGGGCGTTCCAGTCCGTCCTTCACGCCCTACCGAGGTCACCAGTCACCCCCCACGAGCGGCTCTCCAGCACAGCCACGGCCCCAGAAGCACAAGGACTTAATGCAGAACCCAGCAGCTTGCAGCAGAAAAGTGAACGGACTATGCGTTGATCCAGGCCATCAAGTCTGCCGGAGGGGAAAGGGTGTTGCCCCATTCGCCCTCTCCTCTCTGGAAAGAAAGATGGCGGCCACATGGGAGCCTTGTGGACAGCAGGTATGAGCCGGGAGTGTGGGGGCGACTAAAACCTCATGGGAAGGGGGGCGTTCCGGTCCGTCCTTCACACCCTACCGAGGTCACCAGTTGCCCCCCACGAGCGGCTCTCCAGCACGGCCACAGCCCCAGAAGCACAAGGGCTTAATGCAGAACCCAGCAGCTTGGAGCAGAAAAGTGAAAGGACTATGCGTTAATCCAGGCAATCATTTCTGCCCAGAGGGGAAAGGGTGTTGCTCCCTTCCGCCCCCCTCCCTCTGGAAAGAAAGATGGCGGCCACATGGGAGCCTTGTGGACAGCAGGTATGAGCCGGGGGTGTGGGGGCGACTAAAACCTCATGGGAAGGGGGACGTTCCAGTCCGTCCTTCACGCCCTACCGAGGTCACCAGTCACCTCCCACGAGCGGCTCTCCAGCACATCCACGGCCCCAGAAGCACAAGGACTTAATGCAGAACCCAGCAGCTTGGAGCAGAAAAGTGAACGGACTATGCGTTGATCCAGGCCATCAAGTCTGCCGGAGGGGGAAGGGTGTTGCCCCATTCGCCCTCTCCTCTCTGGAAAGAAAGATGGCGGCCACATGGGAGCCTTGTGGACAGCAGGTATGAGCCGGGAGTGTGGGGGCGACTAAAACCTCATGGGAAGGGGGGCGTTCCGGTCCGTCCTTCACGCCCTACCGAGGTCACCAGTTGCCCCCCACGAGCGGCTCCCCAGCACGGCCACAGCCCCAGAAGCACAAGGGCTTAATGCAGAACCCAGCAGCTTGGAGCAGAAAAGTGAAAGGACTATGCGTTAATCCAGGCAATCATTTCTGCCCAGAGGGGAAAGGGTGTTGCTCCCTTCCGCCCTCCTCCCTCTGGAAAGAAAGATGGCAGCCACATGGGAGCCTTGTGGACAGCAGGTATGAGCCGGGGGTGTGGGGGCGACTAAAACCTCATGGGAAGGGGGGCGTTCCGGTCCGTCCTTCACGCCCTACCGAGGTTACCAGTTGCCCCCCACGAGCGGCTCTCCAGCACAGCCACGGCCCCAGAAGCACAAGGACTTAATGCAGAACCCAGCAGCTTGGAGCAGAAAAGTGAACGGACTATGCGTTGATCCAGGCCATCAAGTCTGCTGGAGGGGGAAGGGTGTTGCCCCATTCGCCCTCTCCTCTCTCGAAAGAAAGATGGCGGCCACATGGGAGCCTTGTGGACAGCAGGTATGAGCCAGGAGTGTGGGGGTGACTAAAACCTCATGGGAAGGGGGGCGTTCCGGTCCGTCCTTCACGCCCTACCGAGGTCACCAGTTGCCCCCCACGAGCGGCTCCCCAGCACGGCCACAGACCCAGAAGCACAATGACCTAATGCAGAACCCAGCAGCTTAGAGCAGAAAAGTGAAAGGACTATGTGTTAATCCAGGCAATCATTTCTGCCCAGAGGGGAAAGGGTGTTGCTCCCTTCCGCCCTCCTCCCTCTGGAAAGAAAGATGGCGGCCACATGGGAGCCTTGTGGACAGCAGGTATGAGCCGGGGGTGTGGGGGCGACTAAAACCTCATGGGAAGGGGGGCGTTCCAGTCCGTCCTTCACGCCCTACCGAGGTCACCAGTCACCCCCCACGAGCGGCTCTCCAGCACAGCCACGGCCCCAGAAGCACAAGGACTTAATGCAGAACCCAGCAGCTTGCAGCAGAAAAGTGAACGGACTATGCGTTGATCCAGGCCATCAAGTCTGCCGGAGGGGAAAGGGTGTTGCCCCATTCGCCCTCTCCTCTCTGGAAAGAAAGATGGCGGCCACATGGGAGCCTTGTGGACAGCAGGTATGAGCCGGGAGTGTGGGGGCGACTAAAACCTCATGGGAAGGGGGGCGTTCCGGTCCGTCCTTCACACCCTACCGAGGTCACCAGTTGCCCCCCACGAGCGGCTCTCCAGCACGGCCACGACTCCAGAACACAGAAACCAATTTCTTAACTATCTGACTTTCAGTAGAAATACTTCCAGGGTCAATAGGTAAAATAGCAGAAATCCAAAACCAACATTTAATTCTTGAACCCAGCTGTAGAAAGCAAATCACTTCACAATGCTTTTTCAGCATGTCTGATTTGGGGGGGGGGGGGGGGGTAAACTCTAAATAATAGTGGTGAATCTTTTATTGGAACAATGAATCTAATCAAAGCAGATAGAGTGTTAACTAGAATTCATCTGCCTCACAGGGACGGGGAGGGGTGGGGGGTGGGGTTTTATTGGGGTTCTTCATGGTAAAAAATAAGTATTGGTAAAGGGAAATGTGTTTGATATCTGCATGACTGAGACATAAACCTGAAAGCTTTGTAACCTTTCCCACAGTGATTCAATAAATAAATAAAATAAAATAAAAAATTTAAAAAAAAAAAAGAAAAATATTGGGGGCCATATTCACTGTGCTCAGGGGTCACACCTGGTAGTGCTCGGGGGACTATATTTGGTGCTGGGGATCAAGCCAGGATCAGCTGTGTGCAAGACAAGTACCCTAACTGCTATACTATTCTCTGACTCCAAAATTTGCCTTTTAGAACAAAAGCAACAGGTGCTGGCACGGATATGGCGAGAAAGGGACCCTCCTCCATTGCTGGTGGGAATGCCAACTGGTTCAGCCCTTTTAGAAAACAGTATGGACGATTCTCAAAAAATCAGAAATTGAGTTCCCATTTGACCCAGCAATACCACTCCTGGGAATATATCCCAGAGAGGCAAAAAAGTACAGTCGAAGTGACATCTGCACTTGTTTGCTCATTGCAGCACTGTTTACAATAGCTAGAATCTGAAAAAAACCTGAGTGCCCGAGAACAGATGACTGGTTAAAGAAACTTTGGTACATCTACACAATGGAGTACTATGTAGCTGTTAGAAAAGATGAAGTCATGAAATTTATATACAAGTGGTACTACATGGAAAGTATCATGCTAAGCGAAATGAGTCAGAAAGAGCGGGATAGACACAGAAAGATTGCATTCATCTGGGGAACATAAAGTAACAAAATAGGAGACTAACCCCAAGAACAGCTGAGATAAGTACCAGGAGGTTCACTCCATGGCTTGGAGGCCAGTCACACATGCTGGGGGAGAAGGCAGCTCAGATAGAGAAGGGAGCACCAAGTAAAGGGTGTTGGAAGGATCCTCCCAGGATGGGAGATGCATGCTGAAAGTAGACTAGAGACCAAACATGATTGCCACTCAATGCCTCTTTTGCAAACCACGGCACCCAAAAGGAGAGAGAGAACAAGGAGGAATGCCCTGCCACAGAGGCAGGGTGGGATGGGGGGGATGGAGGGGAGAGGGATACTGGGATCAGTGGTGGTGGAGAATGGGCACTGGTGGAGGGATGGGTATTCAATCATTGTATAACTGAAACCCAAGCACAAAAATTTGTAAATCTACAACTGTACCTCATGGTGTTTCACTAATAAAAATCTAAATAAAAATAAATAAAAATTTGCCTTTTAAACACATGGTAGGAGAGCCAGAGAAATAGCTCATATGATAGAATCAAAGCCTAGTGAATGCAAGGCTGAGTTAGATCTCTGACACTGCATGACACCCCCAAGCAACACCGGAGATGGCCCTGGGCTCCCCTAAGTACTACCAGTCAAGAGGTGCTGCACCCTGGGTAAGCAAGGCCAGAAGCAGCTCCACCCCCAGCTCTGCTGAAAGTAGAACCTATAAAAACAAATATGTAGCAGGGTTCAGGTAGCCTGCTGAGAAGGTCCCCAAAGGCCCCCTAAAGAAGGCAGAGTGAGCTCAGCCCTGTGGGTGCTACGCAGAGGCAAACCTGGTTACTCAGCTGATGCCATCATGGCCAGGCAAACTGAGCTGGGCCCAGGGCTCAGCATCCCCAAAGGTGCATCCTTTCATTCGTTGCTGCTGCTTGAATGCGGTGCCTGGCCCATGGCCACCCAAGGGAGCCCCGAGTAGCTGTCCCCAGTACAGTGGTTTCTGGTGGCAGGTGATGGGAAACAGGTGGCACCCATGCCACTGTCATTGTCTATTGGGAGGGGGTGGAGTGAATTATTGGCCTTGAAGCCTGGGCAGAACAGCTGGCCTCTTGCTCTCAGAAGCTGGGGTCGGGGGGAGTCGGGATACTGGGAACATTGGTGGTGGAGAATGGGCACTGGTGGAGGGGTGGGTACTCGATCACTGTATGACTGAAAATCTGTAAGTCTGCAACTGTACCTCACGATGACACATTAAAAAATTAAAAGCTGAGGGGGTTGAAATGACTCAAACTCAAAAGTAAGGTGGAGTTCATGCAATATTCAATCAGCCTAATCAGTGGCTGAATAAACAGCAGTATCCTACATAAAAAAAAAATGACTCAAACTCAAACTGGCCTTGGGAATCAGGGCCGGCTGTGTGTCCCCGGGTGCTCTCCCTACCAGCTCTGACTGAGGATTTCCCCTCCTTGAAGCCCACCTGGAACTCTCCCATGGCTACAAGGCTTGTTCCAAGGCACCTGCAGGGGTCAGGCTGGCCACAGGAAGCTCCTGGTGGCAGAGCATGGAACTCCCACCTAGCAGGCTGTGGGCTCCAATGCCCAGATGCTTTAATCCTCTGAATTCCCACTGGACACAAACAAAAATCAGGGCCGCCTAGAAACAGCCCTGCGTTTCCATGTCAGAAGCTGGTTTCGCCCCTGCCCAGCAAGGCTAGCCACAGACTCAGTGCCCCAAGGCCATGCTGCACTCAGCCTTGTGACTTTACCTTTGGACACCGCCACTGCGGCCGCGGTCAGCCTTCACCTGGGCCTCACTCAGGGACTGCGGGGCAGACTGTGCCCAGGGAGGCACCGGCCATGCTGCCTAGGCAGAGAGGGTGCGCGGTGGCCAGCCCTGACAGGCACAGACCATTCCTCAAGGCCAAGTGCTTAGTGCCCGGCCTAAACTCAGGCGCTTATGGTTTGGTCGGTGGCCCTTGCTGCATCCAGGAAGGAGAGCCTTGTGTCCCCCGGCCAGCCCCAAACACACCCCCACCCAGCGTGTGTACTCAGCGCCCCCTGGCTCCCCAGTGCCCACCACGGATCCCTTGCATTTATAAGAGAAAGCACCTGCTGCAGCTGCCCGCTAGGGTCCTGGATGCGACTGCTAACTTTGCTGGGGGTGCTCCCCCAAACCTCAGGAGGCCCCGACCTCTGGCTGGACCCCCTCACCTACAAAGGGGGTCGAGGGTCGCAGCTGAAAACTGCGGAATTCCGGTTGCAGCCAAAGCGGGTGTTCCCGGAGCGTGCGTGTGTTGGGGTGAGGGGGTCGCCCGCCTCCACGTGGGTCACCCCGGGGACCGCCCCCGCCGCACCACGGCCCGCGGACAGCGCCGTCCGGCCCCTCCCCCACGCAGCCCCCGCGGTCGGCACGGCCGCCCCGGGGTCACGCCGGAGCCCGCGCCGCGCCGCGCCGCGCCGCCCCGCCCTACCTGCTGCGCCCGTCGCCGCGGCCCGCGCCCCCGCGCCCAGCGCCCGCAGCCGCGCCCCGCAGCGGCCGCGCGCTCCCCGCAGCGCCGCGCTCAGAGCGGCCATCGCGCCGGGGCCTCGCGGGAGCCGGGGCTGCCCGCCGCGCTGCCTGCGCCCGCCGAGCGTGAGTCCCGGGAGCGAGGCCCGCGGGCCTGGGGGCGGGAGCCGAGCTGAGCCGAGGCGCCCGCGGCACCTGCCCTGCCGGGGGAGCCCGGCGCCGGCTGGGTGCGATGACCCGATTGGCGGGGTGGGGTGGTTGGGGTGGGGTGGGGGCGGGGTGGGGTGGGGAGGGGGGTGCGGGGCGTCCAGCTGGGCTGGGCGGAAGCAGAAGACTCGGAGACGGACACGGGGGAACCGGGCGGGGGTCCCGAGCCCAGAGTGGATGCCTGTTTTTCTCCCGGGAGGATTTTGACCTGCTGGGCTCGGGTCCAGGACCAGATCTCGCTGCCGGAAGATGTGGCTTGGGGCTGGGAGCAGAGGCTGGGAGTGGAGGGTGACCTGAGACCGGGGCTGCTCCTGGCTCGAGGACTCCGATCCAAGGGGACCTCCTACAGGGCTTTGCATTCTGGGTGAATAGTCCTTCTTCTGATTGTTTAGTTACTTAGAACGCAGGAACCCCGGGTCAATCTCTAGCACCCCACAGCCCCCTGTTATAACAACAGCGCCAGAAGTAACCCCCAGAAAAAAAATTAAAAAGAGCCGTGAGTAGCTGGGTATGTTGTCGGGTGTGGCCCCCCTATCTCCCAATAAAGGTTCTCTCCCCTTTCAGGAAAATGGTTAGAACCGCACAAATGATATAAGAAGAAAACCAAACCAAAAAAAACCCTCTGGAGCCAACAGAAGTCCAATAAAAGCTTTATCTGGGATGTGTAGAGGCCCCGGCATACTACAATTAGAATGCCCGTTAAAGCTCTCTAACTCCCAAAGGGGAGCCAAAGACTGCCCAGGAAAAGCTGACCAATCCCCGCGAGTCAACTTTCCACCAATCAGAACTGTACTGCAGGAACGCTTCGTTTGCATAAATGTCGCGAAGTGAAAGCTCACGGTTCCTTTGCGGTGTCAGAGCTCCTATTGCTCTGGGAAGCTCTCTGGTCGCAGCTCTAGTGCTTCACTGTGCCTTGTTTTTCCTGAACTGCAGTTCTGAGGCCCCTGCCAAAGACCCAAATAAGTGGTGAGTTGAGAGATACACGCTGTGGTTGCTTTAATTTAACTTGCCCAGACTTTGGCTGTCTGATCACCAGGCTGGAACGCAAACCCCTGTGAGACTGGGTCAGGGCGATGTGATCTCAGCTCCCGTTGAGAATCTGGAGAAAGGGGTAGTCACATGGCCCGACTGAGGAACGTTTCTGCCATTTTTTTTTACAGCCAGGGACTTCTCTGTCCTTTTTTGGTTTGGTTGGTTTGTTTTGTTGGGAGGCTGCATCTGGTGGTCCTCAGGGCTTCTGGCTTTGAACTCAGGGATCACTCCTGGCAGGCTCAGGGAACCCCATGGAGTGCCGGGGGGTTGAACCCAATTCAACTGTGTGTAAGGCAAACACCCTGCCCACTGTGCTAGCACTCCTGCCCACTTTCGGGTCCCTAAGGGGAGCTGCAGGGCCCAGGGAGGAAGAATATCGCAGGTTAATTCAGACGATCCTAAAGGAAGGGCAGATTTTACTCAGTAGCCACTGTTAGCAGCAGCTGCTAAACTTTGTTCTGATTTGCTCAGGTGCCTTGGTGGTAGAAAGGGAGGAGGGAGTAAGGAGTGGAGACAGCAGAGAGCTTGAGAGTCTCAGAGGAGCAAAATTTTATAAAAAGCAGACTAGGGAGTTTGTCCTTCTGGGTTGGCCAACAGGCTCTTGTGGCTGGGTTCGTCCCCAAGCTCTCGGGCTGGAGATGGGCTCCTGGCCACGGGTGCTGGCTGAACAGCTCATTCTTCTGGTTGTTTAGTTACTGAGGTAACAGGGTCACAGTCATGTGGATGGCAAGGCTTTGGGTGCAACTTAATTGCCCCTTCACCACCAACAAAGTGTCCAGAGTCCTCCATCTCTGTACTGTGTCCCCCGCTCGTCCCCCTCTTTGCTCCCAGCCCCCACCCCTCCTCCGGAGATGAGGGTCACACCTCGGGAACTTCAGTTCTAGTGTGAAAGTTCTGGTCTGTTTGCATTAGGTAGCCTATTTCCTTGCTTGTTGCTTTACATACGATATATGAATGAACTCTCCTGACTTTTGTCCCTCTCCAACTGATCTACTTTGCTCAATTTGACGCCCTCTACTTCCTTTCTGGTTGCTGGGTTGCAGGGATAAAGGGTTGTCAGGCCAGGGTCCCTGCTGACCTCTGTTGTTTGTCTTTGTCAGAGAAGGAATTCCAAGATAAGAGTGTAGATAGTAGAGATTTATGAAGGAGATAATAAAGGGAGGTAAGGATATAACCAGGAAACATGGATGCTGGTGTTCTCGAGGTAGTCGCTGGGTTTGGGGGTGAGGGCTTTTTAAGGAGTAAGATACTAGGGGTTGGGCAAATAGGGGTAGTTGCATATGCTCATACAGACTGCATGCTTGCTCATACATTGCATGTGTTATTAGCATCTGATTATGCAGCGAGGAATTCGGGTAATATATATTTGGGGCTTAATGAGAAGAAAAGTGAAATAAGAACTATTTGTGGCAGGAAATGTACACTGGTGAAGGAATGAGTATATGACTGGAACAGTATATGACTTGGAACAGTATATGACTGTAACCCAATCATGAACAACTTTGTAACTATGTATCTCACTGTGATTCAATAAAAAATAAATATTTTTTTAAGTAAAAAAATAAAGTAAAGTAAAATAAGACCAAGGTACTACTGAACTTCCACCACCAACTGGCTGGAGCCAGTTTGAGCTCTCTCTTTGTTTTGCTTTTGGCCATAGAGCTCAGCACTTACTCCTGGCTCTCCTCTCAGGGATTATCCCTGGCTGTGCTCTGGAAATGTATGGGGTATCGGGAATCAAACCCGGGTCAGCCCCGTGCCAGGCAAGCGCTCCACCCACTGTACTATTTCTCCAACCCAGCTCCCCCTGTTTTTCATCAGACACATGAGATGGTCTAAATTGCCTGATGGAGAAATTTTCCCATTTTCTCTTTCCTTTTCCCTTCACCCACTCCTTCACGGCACTCACCTTACTAGCTCTAATTAGAGAATTCCATCCCTAATTCTTTTGGGTGATTGAAGGATGGCAATTCACCTTCTGTATCTGCTCTGGCTGAGTTGGGGCCCTGTGTAGCCTGGGAATGAATCCTTGGGCAGCCTGAAGTAGATGCCTCAGAGGCAGTGCAGTTCTGAGTTTGGTGTTTGGTGGAAGTCTTTGTATGATCAACATTTTTATATGGAGCTTTCGCATTCTATAAGAAATAAGTTTGACAAAAAGATTACGCAAGTGGGGTTTAAAGTGAGTGGGTTCTGTGGGGCTGGAGCGATAGCACAGCAGCACGCAGCTGGCCCGGGTTTGATCCCAGCATCCCATATGATCCTCCGAGCACTGCCAGGAGTAATTCCTGAGTGCAGAGCCAGCAGAAACCCCTGAGCATCATAGGTGTGGTCCAAACAAAAACAACAAATGAGCAGGTCCAAGAAATAGTGCAGCTGGCAAGGTGCTTGCCTTATTTGTGGCCGCCCGAGTTCAATCCCTAGCACCACATCTGCTCCCCTGAGAATTTCCTCTGAGATGAAGGCAGGAGTAAGCTCTGAGCTTCACCAGGTGTGACCCAGAATTTAAAACAAAAGAAAGAAAAAATGAAGAAAAATCAAAACAAAATGCAGATCAGACTGGAGAGATAGTACCAGGATTAGGACCCTGCACGCGACTGACCCTGCATGATCCTACATGGCCCTGCATGGTCTTCTGAGCATCACTAGGTGCAGCCCTGGAGGCCCTCAAGCATTACTGGATGGTCCTGGGTATCACTGGGATTGCCCAGGTCATCCCTGGCATCGCAAAATCTCAGAAGCACCGAATCCTTGGACCTTTGTATTGAACTGCTGGTTCTGTGAGATGAGAATGGTCAGGAGGGGCCTCACACCTCCTGACCACTGCTTTTGGGAAGGGCAACCCCCCCCCAAGAAAAAATAATAAAAGCACACTGGTAATCTAAGGAATTTTGTTTTAACAAAGGGTAAAGCAAACTCTAGGGAACAGTCAGCTGACCTGGGTTCAACCCCCAGCATCCCTTATGGTCCCTCAAGCACCGACAGTAATAATTCCAGAGTGCAGAACCAGAAGTAACCCCTGTGCATTGCCGGGTGTGAACCAAAAAGTCAAAAAAAAACAAAAACAAAAAAAAAACGAGCCTTTAGTGCCCTAGACATAGTATAGAGGTTAAGGCACTTACTTTGCATGTAGCTTTGCATATAGTGCCTTACTCACCAGACACTGCACGTGGTCCCCAACACCCCACCAGGATCGATCCCTGAGCACTGGATATGGCCCCCAAACAAACAACAAAAAAGAGAAACCAAACTCCAGTTTGGGCATCAGTCTGCTATTGATGTTTAAGCTCATTTGAGAAACCTCTCTGCAGGCTGTGAGATAGTTCATTGGGCTGAAGCCCTGGCTCTGCATGCAGGAAGCATAGGTTCCATCCCTGAGCACTGCCGGGAGTACCCTCTGAGCACTGCCAAGTTCACCTAAAGGCAAACAAGAAAATTATGTTTAATATGGACAACTCTGAAGGTTTACCTGTTTCATTAAGACAACAGTTTTATTTATTTTTTGTTTGTTTGTTTTGGGGGCCACCCCTAGCTGTGCTCAGGACTTAATCCTGGCTCTGCACTCAGGCATCACTCCTAGAGGTGCTCAGAGGACCATATGGAAGCCAGGGATCAAACCTGGGTGAGCCTATGCCAGCAAACTGGCATACCCACTGTGCTCTCTCTCTGACCCCTAGGCAATAGTTTTAAACTAGTCTTATTTACCAGAGATTTACCCAAATTGCATGGACTTAGAAAACACCGATTTGTTTTTTTATATTTCTAGAGTTTTAGGAAGATTTAATTTATATAAACACTTCTCTCTAAACAGATTAGGATGAAACTCCATTAAGGATTTTTATACGTCAATTTGGTAATACCTTCTGGAAGTAGGGAAATATGCTTATGATAGTTTATATACCATGTTTTATTGTATGTTTCATGTTTCATAAATATACAGATGCAAATAGAGATTTTAGGACTTTCATTTAAACATTTTAGCTTTGTGTCAGGCCTAATTACAGTGACATATGAAGCTCACTAGTTTACAAGGTTTGGGCTGTGTCTTTGCTCCGTTTTATACTTTCATCCAAGTTGTGCTTCTAGATCCGGGGTGCAGTGGAAGAGCAAAGGTTTTCTCCAGTTTGAGCAGGGGGTCTTTAAGATTCTCCCCACCCCCACCCCATATAACCTTAGGAAAATGTGAGCTAAATGCTTCAATTTGCTCCTTCCCCCACTCGTCCCCCCTTTTCCTGGCTTCAGATGGTCACCTTGAGACCTTGAAATCCTTAGTGTGTCAGGGTCCCAAAGTTCCAGAGATGGGAAGGGGAGATGTGTAGGGGTGCTGAGGTAGGAGGTTGAAAGGGATGGTTGAGAGGACACTGGAGGGCGGAAGCCATGAGGTCTCAGAGGAGTAACATTGAGGCTAACTTTAGTTTTCAGTGGAATCCATAGAGGCTCCAAATTCTCCTTTAAAAATCGCAGCAGCCCAAACAGGAGGGGACAGGGTTAGCGTGATAGAGTCAGCAGGAGTGCAGGTCGCTAGTGGCAGTTGGCAAAGAAGCACCTGTGGAAGGAGCAGGGTCCGATAGACAAAGATTTGCTGGGGGGTGGGGGGTAGGAATGCTGACTCTGGTGATGGGTTTGGAGTTGGAACATTGAATGCCAGAAACTGTTATCAACAGCTTTGTAAACACAGTGAATAAATTAAAAATACATTTAAAAAAAAAAAGGCTAGGATTGGAGTGATAGCACAGCGGGTAGGGCATTTGCCTTGCACATGCCAGACCGGGGTTCAATTCCCAGCATCTCATATGGTCCCCCGAGCACCACCAGGCGTAATTCCTGAGTGCATGAGCCAGGTGTAACCCCTGTGCATTGCTAGGTGTGACCCCAAAGAGAAAAAAAAAGGCCTTATGACTGGAGAAATAGGGAAGGCTTGCATGCAGCCTATCTGA